TAGAATAGAATAGAATAGAATAGAATAGAATAGAATAGAATAGAATAGAATAGAATAGAATAGAATAGAATAACAGAGTTGGAAGGGATCTTGGAGGTCTTCTAGTCCAACCCCCTGCTTAGGCAGGAAACTGTTTTCTGATCTAGACAATCTCAAAGGACAATCTCAAAGGACTGATTGGCATTCATTTTTAATAGGGCAGTGCAGTTGAAAAAAATGCTTTTATAAAATATAAAAAGAGCTTTTATACCCAGCCTCCCAAAAATGATTAATGATATCCTCAACACCATATTAACTTTTCCTATTTTTTAAATAAGCAGATATATAAAATTCTGTTTAAGGAAAGTACAAATTGTGATGTCAATTTTTTAAAAAGGCATATCTACTCAATTTCATTTGTTCTCCATCTCGCATTATTTCTGGTGACTTTGAGGTTTGATGTTGGAATTGATGTGGTGGAAGAGAAATAAACAGATATCAGAAAAAATTCAGGTTACCTGTACATTGGTACAAAGGAATAGAAACTTTTAGCTGTGTGATTGATTGATTATATGCCTTCAAGTCAATGTTGACTTTTAGCAACCACATAAATACATTTTCTCCTTGACAATCTATCGCTAATCTGGCTTTCAGATCTTCCAAGGATGTCCCCATTGCTGCTGTTACTTAAGCCCACCCATTTTATCATTGGTTTTCCTCTTCCTTTTTCTTTCACTTTCCCAGCATTAGAGCCTTCTCCAGAGAGCTAAGTCTTCATGTGAAATAGAATAGCCTGGTCATTTGTGTCTCAAGTTAGAACTCTGGGTTGATCTATTTGTTTGTTTGTTTTTGGATTGTCCATGGTATTCTCAACACCAGATCTCAAAAGTGTCAACACTTTTTCTATGCTGCTTCTTCAAAGTCCAACTTCACTTCCATAGAAGGTCACTGTGAATACCATTGCCTGCATTATTCTGAACTTTGCAGACATAGACATATCCTGGCATCTGAATGCCTTTTCCATGGTCTTCATGGTTGTTCTGCCAAGTACTAGCCTGTGTTTATTTCTTGACTGCTTATTCATTTACTGTTGATGTTTGGTCCTAAAAGCTTCAATATCTTCTCTGTCAATTCTAAGTATGGCTGTTGTTGTACCTGTTGTCATTAGTTTGGTCCTCTTTAAATTTAATTACTATCTTCTTTAAATTTAATTACTATTTTCACTGTGATTTTTATTGCTAGAGCTTGCCAATCCTTTGCATTTTCAGCTATCTGAGTAGTGTCATTAGTAAAATGCAGATTATTAACATTTATTCCTCCAGTTTTAAAACCACACTCAACTTTTTCCAATCCAGCTTCCTTAATATATATTCCATGTATAGGTTGAATAAATATATTTAAGGGAAGAGAGCATAAGGCCTTTTCTTTTCCTATAGCCATGCAATAGGAAGAGATAATTCCCTATTCCCACACAGACAAAAACAACAACAACCTAGCTCCCCCTCCCCCTTTTTTAAATTATACACTGGTTTACATTTTTTCCCAGTCATTGGCTAAAGAGGTAAGCCTGCTGGTTTCAAGCTCTTGAATTCAGTGCCAAAGCAATCCTTAGAGAAGCAAAACACATTAAACCCTATTTATAAATATTTCAGTGATAGTGTTAATGCTCAATATGTTCTAAACATGCATTTCTCTATTTTTAACTATCTTTCCCTATAGCTTCCCATCTTTAAAATCATGCAGCACATAATGCATGCGGGATAGGATCTCAGATTCTCAGGTTCTCCTTGCTAACTAGTTTAAAAAGAAACTTAACTTATTTCATAGAAATTTTGCATTGTTTTGTACAGCACAAATAATAATGCAAGTATTTGATTTACACTTAAAGCTGAGTTCAGCATAAGCCCTTTATTTTATTTATTGATGCATTTTTAGGTATGCACACTGGAAGCTGTTAAAAGAAAGCCCTGTGTGCTAACTCACCTTAAAAACACGTTTGTGTTACACAAACACATAACACATTGGGGCAAATTTATGATTCTATTTACAAGAATTTGCCTGAACAGGTATAACCTGGAGCAATGCAAATCTTTGTGTTCATGTTTCACAAGTGCTTGTTACAGAAATTGTAAATCCTGTGAAAAAGAATACAAGTTTGTGTTGACATAATATTTTTCCTTGTGTGTTTGCATATATATTGCATTGGGAGGGCAGCTAGGATATATGCAACATGTGTTGTTTGACTTTCTGCATATTAAATGAAGACTTGATCTTTTTTTGTTTGTTTGTTTTTGTTTGTTTGTTTGTTTATTAATAACAGTGGTGAAGGACAAGAGGATGCAGGAGAACTTGACTTTAGTGGTCTCCTGAAACGTAGGTGAGAACCAAGCAATGGAGAAATGTTTATTCAAAATGGTTAAGTTCGTGCACAGAAAATGTCAGGTGTAGAGTTAATACATTCAGAAAATGTTATAACTTTTTCCTTATTTTACAAAAGCTGAGTTCTCAAAAGAATAACGCATGCTTAAATTTAAGTCAGCACATTGACAAGAAACGAGTGAAATCCTAGAATATAATGCTATTTCTTACAGTTGATACCATATTATGCTTTAATAATAACATTGAAGTATCTCAGATAAGTTAAAGTATAACATTGGATGAGGGTTCTTTGTGTTTTGTCTTGCATGCTTCCCCCCACCTCCCCCGTACGTGGAATGAGAAATTCAAACAAATGATCCTGGTATGGAATTTTTATTTTAAAGAAAATTAAGCTGCTCTTGAGAATTCGCTTTCTGCTATAATGCTACAAAATGATTTACTGTATTCTAATTGTAAATGCTTCCATGGTGTGACTGTAAACTTAAGCATCTCTCTGGAATTTGAGAAGGTATTATAAAACAAGATGGAGGGAAACATTTTTTAAAAAAAAATTAAAATAATCCAAGAAGATGTCAGCTGTACTTAAAATCCTGAGCTATGATTAACAATATGAACAAGTCTTCAGACATTTGTTTGTATTTTTATAGTTCTATATGGTTTTGGTTTTCCACACCTTATTCTCCTCAATAGGCTACAAAAACAATAATAGTTAAGGTTCAAGACTGAGATCCCATTTCAAATTTACCCATCTACATGGTGAAAGTGGTACATATAGTTTCCTACAACGTTTCCTTTGTTAATAAAGAGAATACTTGTAGTATTAACATCAGACCAAAAATCAAGTAAACAATAACCCAATCAAGGAATTGCCAAAGAAGCCAACAGCAAACAGCCCAAACAAAGAAGCTCCATGACAATTTTGACCAACATTGACAGGGCAAACCATTAGAACATAAACTGAGACCAAACTCCATTCCTTAGTAGCATTGATAATGTTACCTAATTTTGGTAATGAAAGCCTGCAAGAAAACATCCAGGCTCAGAGACCACCAAGGATCCTTCATTTCTTTTATTTTCTTTCTAATGGGATTAGCAATAGAAATAGCACTTAGACATTTATACTGCTTCATTCTGCTTTACAGGACTCTTTAAGTGGTTTACAGAGTCAGCATATTTCCCCCAACAATCTGGGTCCTCATTTTACCGACTTTGGAAGGATGGAAGGCTGAGTCAACCTTCAGCCAGTCAGGATTGAAGGAATCAAACTTCTAGCAATGAGCAGAGTTAGCCTGGAATACTACATTCTAGCCACTGCGACACCACAGTTTTTATTATATTGTGAGCCATTGGGAGTCACTTGGAGAAGGAGGGTGGATAAATTGAATTCTTTTATTTTGTGCTTTACGTTCATGTTGACTGGCTGGATAAGTCCCTGAAGTTTTCTTGACAAGATTTCAGGAGCCGCTTCCCATTGCCTCCTTCCTAGGGATGAGAGAAAGTGACAGGCCCAAGATCACCCAGCCAGCTTTGCACCTAAAGCAAAACTAGAATTCACAGCCTGCTGGTTTCTATTCTCGTGCCTTAACTTTATAGGTAGTCTTTGACTTATGACCACAATTGAGCCCAACATTTCTGTTGCTAAATGAGACAGTTGTTAAGTGAACTTTCTTCCATTTTACAACCTTCCTTGCCTCAGTTTTCAAGTGAATCACTGAAGTTTTTAAGTTAGTAACACAGTTTTTTAAGTGAATCTGGCTTCCCCGTTGACTTTGCTTGTCAGGAGGTCACAAAAGGTGATCACATGACCCCAGGATACTGCAACCATCATAAATATGAGCCAGTTGCCAAATGCCTGAATTTTGATCACATGACCGTGGAGATGCTGCAACGGTTGTAAGTGTGAAAATTGGTCATAAGTCACTTTTTTCAGTGCCATTGTAACTTTGAATGGTCACTAAACAAACTTGTAAATTGACAAGTGCCTGTATATCTAAACTGATTCCAACACTGCCTGTTAAATAAAATTAAATAAAACACACATATGGAATAGGCAGTGTTTGACTCCGAATCACAGCAGATACTGTTCTCCAATAAATTATTTAAAAAGTTAAACCCACCTTTTTTTTTTCATTTGTTCCTGCCAGGTCTTCATTTTTTTCTTTCTCTTTCTCTTTCCATATGTATATTTCATATGCTTGGCTTTACTTTTGTGGTTTCCTACTAAGATGCAACTTAATGCACGGAAAACCCTTTCATTAGAGTTTGTGATAGTGTGAAATGATGACTTTGGATAATATTCATTTTGTTGCATATGAATATAAATGTCTCTGTATCGATGTATAGAAATGTATTGTTATGTTGATAGAGTAGTAATGCTTTGACGTGAATCTGAGGTCTTCACTTAAATATTAAAAATGAAACTTCCGTCACCAGGGGTAGGATACTGAAATCAAGAAGAGCATTGAAATAGCCATCTACTTCCTGTCTAAGCATAATCGAATTTTGCTTAATTGACCTAATTACTTTTTAAAACAGATCTCTAGCAAATGATGCAGTTATCCTCACTTCCTAAAAAAATAATTTGTCTAATTTTTAAAACTGATTTATCAATCAATACCCTACTTAAAGCCTTCTTTTCAACCGGCCCATTTCTGGCTTTCCCGAACTTCCGGGAGGCCCATTTCTCACCCTCCCTGAGACTCTTTGCTTGCCCTGCACTTATCTGCATCCAAAATGGGCCGTGTGGGGACTCCGGGGAGAGGAGGGGCAGGGTGGGTGGGGTCAGCCAGGAGTGGGATTTTGGGGTTCTCCAAACTTCACAGAATCTTAGGTAGGGGATCTCCTGAACCCCTGCGAATCCTCAGCAGCCCACCCCTGCTTGAAATCCGTTGTTGTTCCCTGTCTAACTCTCAGCAGGTGCTAACCATTCATTGAGAATATTCCTGTGCATAGGCAGGAGTAGCAATCAATCAGCTTAACTCAGGGATGACAATCTTGCATCATCACATCACGTGACGTATTATGAGTGTTCCCCCCTTTGCTAAATCGGGCACAGGCCATGAGTTTGACAGCCCTGGCTTAACATGGACCTTAACATGTGGACCTGAACTTTTGCATCTGTCATGATGTCAGATTACATTATAATCTGTGTCAACAATCAATAACCTGGTCATTAGACAAATGCATAACTGCATTTGTGAAATCTGAGCCTTTGCCTTGCATCAAATAGTGGCCAAATTCTAGATTAAACTATCAGTGGTGATGTAATCAACTAAATTTCAAAGGCAGCTGGATATGTATCTAAGTATATATATATGTGTGTGTGTGTGTGTTTGTCAGACGAACCCTATACAGAAGCCTGATGATGGCAGATGAGATTCTGCCGAAACGTTGCTACAACTTTAAAAGCACAACTATAATGACGTGGGAAAATACTGGAGCAAAGCTGAATACCAAACATAAAAATACCCACGAAAACTTAAGAAAACAAATATATATATATACATATATACACATATACATATACATATACATATACATATACGTGTGTGTGTGTGTGTGTGTGTGTGTGTGTGTTTCATAGATTTTCATGGGTACAGGTATGTAGGTCTAGGTGGCAACATTGTGTTTCCTGTATTGGAGGCTTTTAGTGCGGCTTGGCTCCAAGTAAACCCCAAAGATAAAATTGACCTGGAAAACCAAGGCATATATGAAGTCCCCTGTGCATCATGCCCTGCCACATACATTGGACAGACCAATAGAAGAATAAGTACCCGCCTGGATGAACACAAAAATGCAGTAAAATAGCTGGAACATACTTCCTCACTAGTCCAACACATGAAAGCCACAGGTCATAGCATCGACTTCAGTGGCACCAAAACCCTAGCCACTATAGAAAACTCCAGCTACAGAATTGTCAGAGAAGCCATAGAGATTGAAAAAAGACCTGAAAGCATGAATAGAAGAGATGATTCCACCAGACTGTCAATTATCTGGAAACCTGCACTCTCAAACAAAAAAATCTCCACACCACAAGCCAGGCAAACACCTGGGCACAAACAGACTCCCCCTGATACCTCCAGCTCAAACACACCCCAACTAGGCACCCAGATGAAACCTAGCTTGCTAATAAATGATAGCCGTCTGTTTACTCGGAGCCAAGCCACACTAAAAGCCTCCAATACAGGAAACACAATGTTGCCAGCCAATCAAGACAAAAAAAGCTACAAAACAGACAGAAGATATTAGAAACACCAATCAAGCAGAACACAGCAAACTCCAAGACCAATAAACACAGACCAAGACTCCCAACCAATCAGGATGAAGAAAAAACCATTTTGGCACAGCAGTAGGCTAGCACCAAATTTAAAACAGAAAAGGCTGTGAAAGTCTGACTCATAGACAAACACAATACAGAAGCCTGATGATGGCAGATAAGATTCTGCCGAAATGTTGCTACAACTTTAAAAGCACAACTATAATGACGTGGGAAAATATATATGTGTGTGGCATTCAGCTTTGTTCGGGTATTTTCCCACGTCATAGTAGTGGTGTTTTTAAAGTTGTAGCAACGTTTCGGCAGAATCTCATCTGCCATCATCAGGCATATATATATATATATATATATATATATAAAATCACACTCTCTGGAGAAAAAAAGATATTAGAAGCTAAGTAGATTTAGAAATTTGGTTGTAATGAATGTAATTGTTAATGACATTTGAGGATTTTTAAAAAATCTAAATGAGTAAAATAGTTTTACACATATTTTAATGACTTCTGTTTTTTTAAAAAAAAAAAATCAGACTACGCTTAACAAAATATTTTATGGGAAGAGAGAAAAAACTGCATCACTTGCTAGAGATTTGTCTAAAACAAATGAAAGATCCACCTTGTTATATACCCAACCGGTATTTTCATCTATGAAATAAAATTGAAATAGATGTTCTTTGTTGAACTAACGAACAAATCCTGATGGAAGCATCATCTTTAATTAAATGAAGAGGCTGAAAAACACTTTCTTATTATGGTTTGAAAATCAGGATGCATCTTATTATTTACAAAAATAAAGGTGCACATCCTTATTTTGATTCCTGTTGATGGAGGCGGGTGGCTGGCTGGTAGCTTTCATAGCTAGAAAACACAGCCAAAGTAGTGGAATGAAAAAATGCCTCTTGAATGTATGCAAGTTCCACAAGATGCTTATATTTTGATATGACCTTTGGGAAGATACTGCAGTGTTCCATCAAGTTGCCAAGCTCAGCAAATTCTAGTTGTAATAAACAAATAAGCAGTAAATAAAGTCACTATCATAAATGTTAATACCATAATTTAATTGTCCTAATATTTTTAGCTGATTCCAGTTTTCCAATATATTGACAAGGTGATTGTGTAGAATTGCAACAGACATTGACTTACTATGTTGTTATATTAAAAGAACATAAGGTTTTTCTGCAGTGTGGCATGATAATATCAGCTACAGTCATTCTTACCATCTTTTAAATAAAAAATAATCTTTTGAAGTAATAAACAAAAAAGAATTTTTTTCCAGTAACTTTTATTTGGAGAAATGTTTATTCCAACACAATGTAATTCATTTCACTTCTCTTTTAATTAGTGTGTAAGATCAGCATAAGATATATGAATAAGTTTTCATGTTATGAAATATAATTTTCCTATGTGCAAGTATTGTATCTGAGGACATTTCTTTAAGATGTTCCAATTATATTAGGATCACACTACACTAAAAATTAAGAAGAGTCTAAAATCAATCTTTTGTTGACCTGGTATTATCCAGATGTGTTGGACTTTGATCTCCATGGTGACTTGGAATTCTGGAACATCTAGAAAAACCTCTGGAAAAATTCAGGTTGTAGAAGACTAATTTCAAAGCAAATTTGACAGGCCACTTTCTTTTTACCCTAGGTTAATTTAAGTAAAATTATGTGGTAAAAGTAATCTTGAAATATAGAAACACTGAACTTCAGAATTACACTTCTGATGATACTCAAAAACTATGCCTAATAGACAGAATTCTTCTGAATGTGTCTGCCTTCCGTGATGATTTCACCAGTCTATCCTTGCAAAAATCTTAATATGGCAGCGAAAAGCAATCTAATCATGATAGCGATGTCCTTAGAATGAAGGACATCATTAACTAACATCCTTTCTGTAGGTCGGAAAATGACATCTCATTAGGTTTCAGACTAAAATATTAATAGAAGTTTTCCATACTTAATTCCTGACCCAACTAATCCATTTGTTGTTAAACCCAGACACTTTAACATTTCCTGTTTCTAGTATATCTCACAGTTTTCAGACAATGCACAGTACAGACTTCTAGTTTCATTCTTGTGAAAATGCATAGGTTTCAATTCAAAGAGCTAATTGAAGATCTGTAATGTACTGCCCACTGAAGACATGGGGTAAGTATGTATCCTGCTATTCTCTTCCTTTCTGCTATTAAGATCTTTAACCATATGACCAAACATTTAACCAACCCATTCCTAAGCCTAACTAAGCCTAGCTAAAGCATTTCAGACATAGTCTTCCTTGGATTTGATTTCCAGCTGCGACGTTCACAATATACAAGATCTCATTAATCCAGGCCACATCCCTTTTCTTCTTTCTTTTGTTTTTTTAAACCTTTGTTCCTGATTAGGGAATTTAAGCAGGAACCAGAAGAGCCAGATATAGACGTGTGGGAACTCCTAAAGAATGCAAATCCCAATGACTATGAGAAGATTGCATTTCAGTATGGAATTACTGACTTGAGGGGTATGCTGAAACGTCTGAAGCGCACTCGGAGGGAAGAGAAGAAGAGTGCAGGTATTAATTGCTTGGGACAATTGTATCTTTCTTCCCCCAGGAATCCCCTCCCCCCCCCAAAAAAAAATCTTCCATTAAAGCAGGGGTGGGATTCTACCAGTTCGCACCTATTCACTAGAACCGGCTATTAACATTCTAAGCAGTTCGGAGAACCGGTTGTTAGAAGAAATGACTGGCCTAATCCTGTAAGGAAGGCAGGAAGGAAACATTCTGGTGTTGCTTACAGAAACTGCCTCTCCATTAACTCTTATTACATTCTTGGCAGGACTAGACATCCTGTCTCAGGAACTTCTCTGGAGTTTTTTTTCCCCTCCTTTGCTGGTACTTTGTTTGTGTGGAGTGACCATTCAAAGTTACAATGGCACTGAAAAAAGTGACTTATGACTATTTTTCACACTTATGACTGTTGCAGGATCCCCACAGTCATGAGAGGACAGGCGAGGAGATACGTGCCTCGATGTGACTGATATTGAGTTGGCCACACCCAGCCAATAACATGACCAGCAGGCCACATCCACCCGATCACATGACCACCAAGCCATGCCCACCAACTAAGCCACGCCCACAGAGCCGGTTGTTAAAAAAATTTGAATCCCACCCCTGCATTAAAGCTTTCAGAAAGGAATTGGTTTTAATTAATCAACTCAATTTCTTTTTACTGAATAAAACAAAGTTGGTCTTCGTGTACATCAGGGGTGTCAAACTCAAGGCCCAAGGGCCGGATCACAGGATGTTTAGATCAGGCCCGTGGGGTTGCCCTGGAAACAATGAAGGACTTGCCCATGATGCCTCTGCCAGTGAAAATGGAGCTTGGGAGGAGGTCCTCCCAAGCTCCATTTTTGCTGGCAGAGCACTTGAACCACCACAGGCACCCCTGACATGAGTGATGTTGAGCTGGACATGCCCACCTGGGTCCCCAAGGTCAAACACAAGCCTGACACGGCCCTCAATGAAATCAAGGTTGACACCCCTGATGTACATTATCAGTTTAAGAATTCAACTCCATTATCAATGACAACTCAACAGTTTCTTCTTCACATATTTCTCTGAATATGTGAGAATAAAAGGGAAGTACAGGGCAGGTCTATATCATTATCTTAGTACACTTCCCAAATCTGCCATGGTTCTTTCCCTTTGTTTTCAAACCATTTCATACTAGACAAAATAGAGTTAAGACTAGATCTCCAGAGCTCCACATATTTGAAATGGAGCTAATTATGTAGAAAGAGGCACTGAAATTCCAAAATATACAATTACAATAACTTGGGGAAATCAGGATCCTTCCTTCCCTGTCCCTGTCCAAACTGAGTTTTGGGGAGGAAATGTTAATTCATTTTTATCTAGTATAGGACTACTGCAGGGGTGGGCAAACTACGGCCCGCGGGCCACATCCGGCCCGTTGGTCATTTTAATACGGCCCACCTCTGAAAAAAAAAAATTCCCCTCTGAAAAAAAAATCGGGGCCGGCCAAAAGAGACCCCGCGCCGCGCGCCAAAAAATCGCACACACAACACGGAGCTGGGCAGCCGCTTCCCTGGTGGCGGGGCCGAGGCTGCCGCCCGGGAAATGCCCACTGCTTTCCCTCGCCAGGGCTGGGTGGTGGCGTGTTGCCCTGCGCCGCGTGGCCCCCGCCTGGCAGCGCGCTTCTCGGCTGGTCTCCTCCTCCTCGGCCATACAGAACAAACAGGCAGAGAAGGAGGAGACCAGCCGGCTGGTTGGATGAAGCTTTCTGCGCCGAAAGAGGCAGCTACTAATCTCCAGCTTTGCTCCGCTTCTCCAATGGTCCAGCACCACCCTGTTCTATGTGCCGGCTGCTCGGACTTGCTGGGCCTGACACATAGAACAGGGCAGCGCCGGATGTTGGAGAAGCAGAGCGGAGCCGGAGATCATTAGCCGCCTCTTTCGCAGCACAAGAAGCCTCCCCCAACTGGCCAGCTGCTCTCCTCCTTCTCTGCCTGTTTGTTCTGTATGGCCGAGGAGGAAGAGACCAGCCGGCTGGTTGGGGGAAGCTTTCTGTGCCGAAAGAGGCAGCTACTAATCTCCGGCTTTGCTCCCCTTCTCCAATGGTCCGGCACCACCCTGTTCTATGCGCTGGCTGCTCGGACTTGCTGGGCCTGACACATAGAACAGAGCATGCTGCAGGCATCTTGCGACAAACCCCAGGACATGTGGTCACCTGCTGGCTGGCCGGGCCAGGCCGGGCTGGAAGAGGCACGTTCTCCAGAAGGAAGAAAGCGTGCTCCGGGAGGGCGGGTGCCGGGCAGGTGGGCGGATGTTCCGGGACCACTTAAAGGTCGACTTTAAGAGTGCCCCCATGGAAGAAGCCGAGCAAACGTAGTGGTGGCAGGGGTGACGGGGCATGTGTGTCCCTCCACAAGGAGTATGAGGGGAGGCAGACACCGCACCTCTCAGGAAAAAAGTAGGTGCCAAAGCCCTGGCTGTCACCTGGGAGGGGACCGTGGAGGGACTCATCACATGCCCTTGTTGCCCCCGCCGCCTCTACTTTTGTTCTCGTTCTTGGCTTCTTCCATGGGGGCGCTCTTAAAGTCAATCTTTAAGAGCTGGAAGACGTTTTGTTAGATCGCCACCAACTCATCGTTGGGAGAGGTGTAGCCCCTGAATACACGAGAAGTCTTGGGCAAAGTTCTCTGACTTTTAAAAAGCATCCGTGCGGTGTTTGCCTCCCTTCATGCTCCTTGTGCATGCCAGGAGCACCTAACTGGAGCAAAAGAGAGCGAAGTTGACTGCTATGAAATGAGCACCTTGGCTTCCCCTCTTGCTCCTCACAGTTGCCCTGAGCTGGTGCGGTTCTTTACTTGGGCAGCCAGACGCCTGCAGCAGCGCCCGCAGCAGCAACAGGCAGTTCCGCCCGGGCTCCGCTCAGGTGTCCGGCTGGGGCTGTCAGGAGTTGCTACTGCCGGCGCAGCTCCGCACGGCTCCAGTCCCGCGTTGCCTTGGGAAGGGAAAGGCAAAACCATGAGCCGCTGAGCCTGAGCCTCCGGTGCCGCTGCTGCCGTTGCAAAGCACCGCCGCAGATCTTCCTTTTTGCCTTTCCCTTCCCGAGGCAACGCGGGACTGGAGCCGCGTGGAGCAGTGCCGTCGGTAGCAACTCCTGACTCAGGGGGCCTCCGAGGGGAGGGGAAGGAGGAGGAGAAGGGGGGTAAAGGGTGGGGGGTGGGGCGATTCCCAAAAAATCTTGTGCTGACCCGGCCCGTCTGTCAAATTTTAAAAGTCAATGAGGCCCCCAAGCCAAAAAGTTTGCCCACCCCTGGACTACTGCATGTATTGGCTGCAAAAATACAGAAGTGAGGTTGTTTGTTTTTCTTTGCTATGAGATTTGCAGTTCAGATGTGGAAACTCTACTATAATAATATATATATATATATATATTTGAAAATCACCTAGAATTTAGATTTAGATTTTGTGAAGTTTAGATTTTGTGAAGTTAAATATCACATTTTGCTTTTCAAAGGCTTTTTTTTTTTTTTACTGTCAGTGGCCATTATCTTTTTTCACTCAACAGCCTTTTCTAAGATTCTGGATCCTGCTTATCAAGTGGACAAAGGAGGTAAAGTAAGGTTTGCCGTGGAACTGGCTGATCCAACAATTGAACTGAAGTGGTATAAAAATGGCCAAGAAATACGACCAAGTGGAAAGTAAGTATGTGCATTGACTTAAGTATGAAGAACCTTTCTTATTCCTATTCTAATAGTGATGGTTGCCTATTAAGCATTAGAGAAAAGACATTTATGAATATATGGGCCTAGGGACAAGCCATCTTGGTGGCTTAGGACCATGGCTTTATTTATTTACTATGCAGTTTTAAATTTTATTTATCTATTTGGTTTGATTTGAAATCAGTTTTGACTCCTGGTGATTTTCTGGATGGGCCCATTGAGTTTTGGTTTTTTTGCAATATCATGGAAATGGTTTGCCATTGTCTGCTTCTGGGATTTTTTTCTCAAATTTCCAGACTAAAACTGGAAGAGAGCGACTGGTCCAAAGTCTCTCAGCTGACTTCCATTCTTAAGGGTGTCCTTACTCCTAGTCACCTTGGGCAGTGGTGGGATTCAAATTTTTGTACTACTGGTTCTGTGGGTGTGGCTTGGTGGGTATGGCAGGGGAAAGTTGCTGCAAAATCCCCATTCCCTTCCCCAGCCCACTAACCTGCTTTCCAGCTCGGTTGTCCTGTAAAGGGCAACAAAAGAAGATCCAGCCAATCAGCTGGGACTCGGGAGGCAGATAATAGATGGGGGTGGGGCCAGTCAGAGGTGGTATTTGCCTGTTCTCCGAACTACACAAACTTTCTGCTACCAGTTCTCCAGAACTGGTCAGAACTGCTGAATACCACCTCTGACCTTGGGTCTCCTTGCTCATAGTTTGCACCTTTTCCACTACACCAGGGGTCTCCAACTCCCAATCTATGGACCCGTACTAGTCCACGGTATGCCAGAAATTGGGCCACACAAACAAGTGAAGCCTCATCTGCAGGATGCAGGCAGCACATGAAACCATGTCCTTTCCGGTCGACAGAAAAATGCCTCTCCACAGAAACGGTCCCTGGTGCCCAAAAAGTTGAGGGCAACTGCACCTTACCTTACTCTGGCTCCCTATACTTCACTGGCTCTCTCAGCATCATAGATTACCCCAGTCTGGATGACATGGGCAATAATGAGATGATACCATGGCAGCAAAGTAGAATTAACACATTTGTAAGGGATTTTTTAAAATGTTTGTTTAGACGGGTAGTGGTAAGGAGGGTATTTATTTGAGCATGGTTGTGTTAAGCATTTATCTTGAAATCTATAGGAAACTACATCATTTAGTGTGCAGTTTGCAAGTTAATGTCAATAATCTCTGGGGCCTAGGACTCTGGGGGCTAAACAAATGGCTTGAGAATCATATGCAATCTATTACTTGTTGCTATAGAAAGAAAAATAAACAGGAAGGTATAACTCAAAAGGATAATGGGAAGCAGAGGCTCCCGTAAGCATCTATCCCACTATTTCTTTTAGTAAACCAGCTTTTAATCAAGTAATATTTGAATTTAATAAATATAGTAAATACAGCCACCTTATGACCTTTGCCACCACTAGACTTTACCAGGGAGAAGCCATCCATCGTGGAGACCATCTTGAAGAATATGGACACATATTTAGCGGTCTTCAGTGGATAAATTTAAATTAATTATCTGATAGTTGAATGTGAAATAGAGCAGAATTGGTTGAGGTTAGAGAGACTCCAAGCTTCATCCTGCGGTACTTTTCTCACATGCAATATTTGAAGCTGGCTATTGTTTGTTTATTTGTTTGTTTTGAACATATGTCTAGTGGTCTTCCACAAGACCATAAGACATGTGTTAAAAATGCCCCCTTTATCTTGTCATCCCATTCTCAGGCTAGTAAGACAAGGTGGGAAGCAGCAGCTCTTTAGCTGCTAATTGATTAGAGAACCAACAGCTAAAGAGCAGTTTCCCCAGATTTCTATTTCTCTATCTTCTCTTGTCACCCATTTCTTTTTCCTAGGAATTGGAAAGGAATTGATTTCCTAGGAATTGATAAGAAAAAGGAAAAACTTAAATGCAGAAAAGCAATTCCTTAGCTGTCAGCTCCATAGTCCTTTGGATTGCTTCATGGAATCAGAGAACTGATTAAAAAAAAACTAAATTAAGAACTATGAGAACTTAGAACTAAAAACTGCTTCCTTCCCAGGGCTTCTTTGTGAGCCTTCAATATCTAAGGATCTTCAGCCCAGTCTGCCAAGCATGGCAGAAGTGGGGATATATTGCTCTTTGGGGCAAGGGGAGACCCTGATTAGAAAGAACCAGGATCTTCTCCATTCTGGTCAAGGGTAGGCCTGCAGCAATCAGAGGTGGCCAATAGGAGAAAAATGGCCTCAGTCATATAACCAGAAATGAGAAATGATTAATTGCAAAACATGACAATAACCTGTTAAAGCATGGCTGCCTACATCTTGAGATTAAATCTACATGTTGTATTCTTCACTCTCCATGACAAATGCTTCTAGAGAACTGTAATGTTTGCACCCGATGTGGTATTCAGCAGGTTCTGACCAGTCTGGACAACTGGTAGCGGAAATTGTGAGTAGTTCAAAGAACTGGCAAATACCACCTCTGACTGGATATTTTACAGTATCCTTTCCTTGCCACATCACCGAGCCATGCCCACAGAACCAGTAATAACAAATTTTGAATCCCACCAATGGTTTGCACCATATTCTGTGGTCTGTTGGTTGATTTCAACACAAGTATTGAGGCGGGGTGAATTCTGGAGAACCAATATGATTAGCTCTGCCTTTAAAAAATCAGTGAAGATCACTGCAGTAGCTCCTTGTTCTTGTGGAAGCTCTCTCCATCACTGTTCATTAGCAATGAAATCTAGAAGGAGAAAAGAAGCAAGGAAGCAAGGTGAGTTAGTTAATAGGACCTGTGAGAAATTAGTTTGAATGACTAGAACCTCTTTCATTCAGTGTTTAATATTGGATTAAAGGTGGCATAAGGTATAGTCTTCCACTATGTCCTTTAAGTTAACTTTTTGATCCAAGTGTGAAAGAATTTCAACTTCCAAAATACAGTCTGTATCTCTTTCAATGCTTTCTTCTGTCCTGAATATACTGGCCTGAATATACCAAGTCCAGACTATTGAGCAGCTGCAGGATGGCAATGAGCTTTGGTCATTATTGACCTGAAACAAATGTGAACCAATGACCTTAAGGTGAAAGGCACCATATCCCATTACGTATCCCATGAGCTATATGGCCTACCAGAAATGTTAGCTACTTTGCCCCAGCTATTATTGTACTTTTGAAAATATTTCAAGAGTGCAGGAATGGAACTAGGCTCCTGTTACGGTTATTTCCATCTCCCCCCCAGCTAGAGTTTCAGCCACTGTTGTGTTCAGAACTCTTGAAGTTTGTGTTTGCACTGCATGTTTCCCCATGAAAGTTTTAGGGCCAAATGTTAAATCTGTCTTTGCATCAGTCTTGGACCCAAATTCTAAAAAAGCATGTGGAAGTAGAGGAATTTAGTACAAAAAATATCAGCTGGAGAAGAGACAAGGGAATCATTTTTCTCTGGGGGGAAAATCCCTCATTGTTATCAAGACTACAGCAAGAAGGAAAGGGATAAATATACCCACTTCCAAATTGCTACTATGATCCCTAACTGCACGCAGCCTATCTATCTACAGTTTAAAAAGGGAACCTGCATGCCAGACACAGTGACCTAATTAGGTAAGTGTTTTTGAATACCTCCTGTTGCATCAATCACTTCACAGTGAAGTACCCACTTAGGATCTGAAGGTTGAAGAATAATTACATCGTCTAATAATTCCAACTTCGTTAATCTGCCATTTTCCCATAGATACATATTTGAACACAAAGGTAATGAGAGAATCCTATTTATCAACAACTGCTCGCTGACAGATGATGCCCGTTATCATGTCACAGCTGGAGATGAGAAATGCTCCACTGAATTGTTTGTTAGAGGTACAGTAATGAATCATTGTTGTTATTTCAAAGCTTCAGTCCATTTCTTTAATACAGTCAAACTGTCAGCCCTGAAGCCATTTTAGGACCATCTTCAGGGCTGCCACAGCAAGGCCAGTTGGAGCTGTGGGAACTTGAGGGGGCAGAGATAAAGATAGTTAGGGGGATGTGTAGCCAAAATAATATTATTTCCCGTGGGAGCCAAGGATGCTCCACCAGGTGTTGGAAAGGCATGGACAGAGGCCAGCCAGAATTGGGACTGTGACCTGATTGGACTATGTGATGGGCATGTGACCTGTGGGCAAGAACTTTGGGTTTTGATTTGAGCGGGGGAAACTTCGGGTCCTTCAGAGTCAGGTTTTCCCCAGTTGTGCCAATATGACATTCCTAATAAATTCATAGTTTGAGGAAACTCCAGGCCTCAGAGTCTTGATTGCCTTGGGTCTGTTACTTGGAACCCTGATACAAATCTCACTTCAATAAATGCCAGTATGTTAGATTTCAGATTAAACACAGACAAGTTAAACTCAGGTTTATCCCCATTTAACAGACAATCATTTTGCAGACAAATAGGAAAATTTCAGTAAGATCTACAGAGTGCTGTCATTATTGCTGGTTGAATGGGGGAGGATCTTAGAATCCAATGCAAAATGGATCCAAGTGTATAAACCTAAAATTAAATGCCTGATTAGCCTCTGAAATCCCTGAGAACTTCATTTTTCTAGATGGCATATAGGTCTCTCTGATTCAAAGAAAGCTATAGCAAGAGAAACCACCAAATTTCAGAAATGGCTTGTTTTATGAAAGAAGGCGAATACATGTGTCCCAGGATAGGATCCAGTCTGAGTCGGTTACCGGGAGCAGAGGTTTTGCTTTCTGAGCTTTTGGACTCATGCTGGAGCCCATCTTCATATAACTTCTCTCTCTAGCAGTGTGTGTGCTTTTCTGTGTGTGGTATCTATAGTGTCTGTTGTAAGTGGCTTTTTTTTTTTTAAAAAAAAAAAAAGAGTCTTGGTGATCATGTTTGCACCATATTCTGTGGTATGTTGGCTGATTTCAACGTAAGTATTGAGGCGGGGTGAATTCTGAAGAACAAGTATGATTAGCTCTGCCTTTAAAAAATCAGTGAAGATCACTGAAGTAGCTCCTTGTTCTCGTGGAAGCTCTCTCCATCACTGTTCATTAGCAATGAAATCTAGAAGGAGAAAAGAAGCAAGGAAGCAAGATGAGCTAGTTAATAGGACCTGTGAGAAATTAGTTGAATGACTAGAACCTCTTTCATTCAGTGTTTAATATTGCATTAAAGGTGGCATAAGTTATAGTGTCTATAGTGTCTGTTATAAGTGGCTTGTTTTTTTGTTTTTTTTTAAATGAGTCTTTTTAATCATTTGTTCATGATATGTTTTCTTTTTCTTCCTTCAGAGCCTCCAGTAATAGTGACAAAAGGCCTGGAAGATACCAATGGTTATATTGGTGACAGAATAGAATTATCAGTTGAAGTGTCTGAAGATGACGCAAACGTTAAATGGTAGGCCACTTACTTCTTTCTTTCATAAATATTTTAAACCTGAGCTGAATTGGATCCTTATGAACCAAACTCATTTATTTAAAAACAAAAAGGTTTTTTTAATGCTTGCTAAACAGAAGTCACCAAAGATGACAAACAATTCAGGGCCTTGATAACCTTTTACAAAAGCATACAGTACAGAATGAAGACAAATGGAAACTGTCCTGAGACTAATTTTTTCATCAAGCTTTTCTAAACTACCATGTTTCTCTAACAATACGGCCTCCACCAATAGGAAGGCCCAGCATGTTTTATCGGCATAAAATCAAATTAAGCCCCTCCCCCCAAATTAAGGCCTATATTAAACATGCAAAATGGGGTGGAATGGCGGGGGGGGGCTTGCCGTTAGGAAGTAGTTTTGTTGCATACCCGGATATGGTGCTGCCTGCATTGACTTTGGCATTGGTGGGACACTTCGTATCAGGAGACCTTCCTCCACCGTTGCTTTCCCTTCTCCCTTGCTGCCGCGGCGTTTAGAGCAACACCGCGGCGTTTGGCGCAGCCACGTGCAGCCAGCCAGGGCTCCTCCCTGCAACCGGAGCCCAGCAGAGAAACTCGGCTTCAGGCGCTCCTGTCGCCGCCTTCCCTTTGCCTTCGAAGGCAAAGCCAATTCTTTTAAAAACGACACCCTACTACCGGTACAACAAAGCCTCCCCTGCCCGAGAGGGCAGCCCAACCCCATGTGGGGAGGCGAATCTCCCGGGGCTGCAGCGCAGGATCGGCCCACCCTGGGAGAAGCACCCAGCTGCCATCCCTGCCTGGTGCTGGGCAGAGTGCGAAGAGCTTCGCCTGGGGCGCCCAGCACAGCTGACAGGCAGGCCCTCCTTCCTGGCGGTGGAGCTCTCACCAAAGCAGCGAGCACCTCCCCATCGGACCCTCCGCTCATCCTGCCAGGACCGCGCCAGAGCTGTGCGGGCTGGGCAGAGCCGGGAAAGCAAGCCGCAGGTGCGCGCCCGCCTGCCAAGCAAAAGAGCCAGGCCAACCTGAGCTTGGCTTCCTTCCCAAGTCCCTCCAGCGTGAACCCGAAGGGGCCACCAGGAGAAACCACCCGAGGCAGTGATAGCGCCCACCCATCCATGGACAGGGAGGCAAGGCAATGGCCTGCACCACGTCCTCCTCCGAGCTGAGCCCCGCCGAGCCAGCGCCTTTGCCTGATGCCCATTCCGCTGCAGCGTTTGGAGCTGCCGGCGCATTTGGAGATGCATGGGGACGGGCTGGGCGAGGGGTGGTAAGGACGGGCGGCTTTGGGCTGTCTCCGCCAGCCAGGGAAGCAGCGCTGCCATCACCTCGCCTCCCTATCCGTGGATGGGAGGGTGCTATCACTGCCTCGGGCAGCCTCTCCTGGTGGCCCCTTCAGGTTCGCGCTGGAGGGACTTGGGAAGGAAGCCAAGCTCAGGTCAGCCCGGCTCTTTTGCTTGGCAGGCGGGCGCGCACCCGCGGCTCACTTTCCTGGCTCTGCCCAGCCCGTACGGCTCTGGTGCGGTCCTGGTGGGATGAACAGAGGATCCAGCAGGGAGGCGCTCGCCGCCTTGGTGAGAGCTCTGCTGCCAGGAAGGAGGGCCCGCTTGTCAGCTGCGCTGGGCGCCCCAGGTGAAGCTCTTCATGCTCTGCCCGGCGCCAGGCAGGGATGGCGGCTGGGCACTTCTCCTGAGGTGGGCCGATCCTGCGCTGCAGCCCCGGGAGATTCGCCTCCCCACGTGGGGTTGGGCTGCCCCCTCGGGCAGGGGAGGCTTTGTTGTAGTAGGGCGTCATTTTTAAAATAATTGGCTTTACCTTTGAAGGCAAAGGGAAGGCGGCGACAGGAGCGCCTGAAGCCGAGTTTCTCTGCTGGGCTCCGGTTGCAGGGAGGAGCCCCTGCTGGCCGCACATGGCTGCGCCAAACACCGCGGCATTGCTCTAAATGCCATGGCAGCAAGGGAGAAGGGAAAGCAACGGTGGTGGAAGGTCTCCCGGACCAACGCTGAGGTCAACATCCAAGCTGTTGCTGCCCGCCCACCCGAGGTTGCAAGGGGGGGGAATTAAGTCACCCCCGAAAAGACGGCCTAGCCATTTTTTCGGGGGTCAAAAAAAAAATAAGGCCCGGCCTTATTTTGTGAGAAACACAGTAGAACAAACCCACTAAAATGCCCATTGGAATTATGCAGCAATAAGGAATTTGTATGTTTCTGTACAGGGTTGTCAAACTCATGGCCCATGGGCTGGATGCATCATGCTCTGGCCAAGCCCATCCCCAGTTTAGCAAAGGGGGGGGAGTCATGATACATCACGTGACATTTCAAGTTTGACACCCCTCATGTAGAATATTTCCCAGGAATGAAGAAGACGGAGCTTCCATGGTTCATACCAAATGAAGGCTTCAATTTACATTTATATTATTAGTAATCTAGGCAGCTGGATTACAAATAGATGGACAGCAATAACAATAGCATTTAGGCTTATATACTATGCTGTAGCATTTTATAGCACGCTCTAAGTGGCTTACAATGTAAGTATTATTTGCATATTGCCCTCAGCAATCTGGGTCTTCATTTTCCCAACTCAGAAGAATGGAAGGATGAGTCAATCTTAAACTCTGTCAGGATCAAACTCCAGGCTGTGGGCAGAGTTTGTCTAAATACTACATTCTAACCACTGAACCACCAGGGCTTTTCTGGATATATGGGGTCCCTTCTGATTGCCTATTTGTTTCACAGCTATTGAATAAAACTTGATTATGGTAAAATTTAATAACAGTGTGGAAATGAAGGTAAAACTCTTGCATTAGATAGGAGATTGGATCTTATGGTCAAAATAATCCTTTCAACTATACCAGAACTATGGTTTTTCTGAAAGTGAAAACCAAAGATAAATGTCATGCTTATTCTCTGGTTTCTGCAGACGAGATCAAAAAAAGCAAGATGTGCAACATAGGTCAAAACCATGCACCTTTGTATATGCATGCAGTTACAAGCTTGCTTGTCTTTAATCATAGTCACAGATGCTGGTGTGCTTGTTGTTAAAAAACAAAACTAAGCTAAACTCTGCAACTTTATACCTGATCCTACATAATCAAGATTTCTCCCTATCTCTCCTTCATTTGTCTCATAGACCATGCTTTTGTTTTGTATTGTTTTGTTTTGTTTAAAGGATGGCTTTTTTCAATCAAATAAAGATTTTGATACCTTTTTTAAGTAAAAGTACTTTCAAGTTAATTATACCATTTTGGCTGTTGTTATTGTTCATCAGGTTTAAGAATGGTGTGGAGTTGCCTCTTGAGAGTAAATCAAGATATAAAGTTAAAATTGAGGGTAAAAAGCACACTTTGATTATTGAAGAAGCAACGAAAGCGGACAAGGCAACATACTCAGTCATGACAACTGGAGGACAATCAGCTGGCAAGCTGAACGTTGGTTGTGAGTGAAGATTTTATTTCTAGCTTATTAGCAGGAATCCTTTTTAAAAAAATAACTATAAGCACGTCCTTGTCACCTCATGGATAGGCTTTGACTGCTTTGAAGTTAAAGTGGTACCTTTAGTTGATCCAAAATGTGATGGCCTCTCTATTGACATATCAATAGCAGATTAAGTGATCTAACATTTGTACTGCAGGCCAACATTGGTTCAGAGTCCAATTCAACATATTCATTATCACTTTTAAATTGCTCTATGCTTATCCTCTAGGATAATCTTTCCTGTCTAGGTATGGCCTATCCCATGATTCTGAGGGAGGATACATTAAGGGATTTGAGGATAATCTTTTATCTTCTCAAGTGGCTGTCCCTCACCCCCACCCCCCAAAAAAAATTGGAATCTGATGCCTCCTGAGATAAGGAATACCCCCAATCCATTGGCCTTAAAAAAGTTTAATGACAAGGTGCTATCTAGCAAACTGCCTTATGTTTATTTTCATTTTATTTATTGTATTTATTATTTTTACAAATAACTCAAGACAGTGACCACATCCAACACACCTTCCCCCTCCTACTTTACCCACAACAACAACTCTGTGAGGTGGGTTCAGTGGTGGGATTGAAATTTTTTTACTACTGGTTCTGTGGGCGTGGCTTGGTGGGCATGTCAGGGGAAGGATACTGTAAAATCTCCAGTCAGAGGTGGTAATTTGCCGGTTTTCTGAACTACTCAAAATTTCCGCTACTGGTCCTCCAGAACTGGTCAGAACCTGCTGAATACCACCTCTGGGTGGGTTGAGCTGAGAGAGAATGATGGCATACGATCACACAATTGGTTTTCATGGCTAAAGTGGGACTCGAACTTATGGTCTCCCACTTTCTACCTAGTGCCTTAACCACTAGACCAAACAAAAATAATTGTTTATGATTTTGTTTGATTATAAAACATTTTGAGTCCCATAGATGTTTGAATACATAAATAAATTATGGGTTAGCTATTCAAGAAAGCTAAGAATAATTCAAATAACACTTAGAATTGCTTAAAATAACAACCCCACCCACAAGTGTAAGCTGTCAGAGCAGATAACCCATTGCATCAAATAAGTGTTATATTGTGAGCCTTGTTTACATAAAAATGATTTTTTATATTTAAAGAATAATACTTCCTCATCTCATATCAGCCTATTTAAAAGTTGGTAAGTTGTAGATGCATATTAGCTAAAGAATTCTGACTGGCAAGGTCCAGGAAGAGAACTTTATCTGGCATTGTTCTCATCCTCATTCTCCCTCCCCTAGGTGAGACAGGTCCAGGAGTGGGCTGCTGAGGGTTTGGGAGAGCGCCTAGCTAAGATTCTGTGTAGTTCAAAAAAAAAAACCCAAATCCCACTCCTGGCTGGCCCTGCCCACCCCTCCCCTCCCCTCTCCTCCCAGGAGTCCCTACATAGCCCATTTTGGATGCAGGTAAGCGCAGGGTGCGTGCGGAGGCTCGGGGAGTGTGAAAAACGGGCCTCCCGGAAGTTCAGGAAGGCCAGAAATGGGCCTGTTTCCGGTTTCCACAGAGCCTCCAGAGCCCGGGGAGGCTGTTTTTGCCCTCGTGGAGGCTCGAGAAAAGCCTCCAGAACCTGGGGAGGGGAAAAATGCCCCCCCCCCGCCATGGTGTAGGAGGCCAACTAGGCCACACTCACCTTGGCCATGCCCACCCAGCAACTGAGCAGAGAACCCTTTGCTAAAATTTGCTAAACTCCTGGACAGGCCCCAAACCTCCTGGCCTTTTGGAAAGGTGGAAAAACATGATTCGGCAACCTTGCCTGGGGAACGCAGCCATTCAGGCTCTTTAGCACCCTGAAAGTCCTCCCTCTGCCTTATAATTAACTTTCAATCACGCTAGTCTGTTTTTAAAGTTTCTGTACCATTTTTAGGTACTAAAATTTTAGTATCCGTCTATGAGAAAGATGGGTGATTTCAAATTTAGATATGTAAATAAATATTAGAATTTACAAATCTATGCAAGTGTCAATGCCACATGCACTCCTTTTTGTGCACATTTACAAGGTTCAAAATTAGGTGGCCAGCAGGGCACCACACACACACACACACACACACATACCAGCCCCATAGTCTAGACTTGTAAGTATGTGATCTAGTCTGGTGTCACTGAATAAATATCCCGTAATAAGGCAAAACTAGCAGTCTGTCATTCCTCATTTCTTAAGTGAGGCCACTGAAGATATTGCATCCACTGGAAGATCAGACCGTCAGGCTCGGCAAAGAGCTCTCTTTGAAGTGTGAGGTTTCTGAAAATGTTGATGGAAAGTGGTACAAAAATGGGCAGCTGCTCCAGCCCAGCGATCGCATCAAAATATATCACAAAGGAAGGTAAGCTTGTAATTTAGACCAGGTGAAATAATGATAGTAAAAGCAAAGGATTTTCTCAAAGACATTTGTGAAATTGAACCAGGGTTTTGGAATAAAAACATTTTGGCCTAACAATTATTCTTCCAAATCATTCCATTTATGCTTCCAATAAAGTTGGCAATAATCTAGTTGTGTGCAAAACTCTGTTCCAGCAACAAAATGTTCTTGAATGACCATAATATTCTGGCTTTCACTTGGTATGTGCCAGCCTGGTCATTCTTGGAAGAGTTCCTTGTTTTCTGGGTGGCTGTTCCCCAGATCTGGGAAACTATGATGAGCTGAAAAATGCCTGGAACCATTTCAGAATAATCAGAACCAGAACATGTTGAACAAGCTCCAAAACAGGTGAAAGAAAATCAGAAGATTCCAGGGAGCATTAGAAAGCTCTGTTGCCATAATAGAAAATTTTGCAGCTCCGTAGATAAATATATGAAGTTCAGATATTCATTCTTGTAAATATCTCATTAGTTCATTATACTTGAGAAGTCTTTTTTTTTAATTAATCCTAAAAATTGTACTTCGATGTACATACCTCCAGGTATGTGCAATTTTCTTTGCAATTTTGCTTACTGCAGCCATGTTTTGCAAACAATTGCCAATATTAGCACTTTTGTATATTGGTTTATGAATATATATACTTGTACAGTATTTTTTTTCACCTTGAGATTGTTTTAATGAAGAAGAGGTGATTAAAATAGTTTTAAGTTATGGTTGAATAATCTCAAAATCTGCACAACTGTAAGAAAGTTAATTCATGTATTGGTCCAACATTCAATTAAAATATGAACTAAATTAATTTCTTCCCCCAACTTTAACTCCAGCGCATTTATTTTCAAAAGCTGCAGTAATAATGATAAACAGATACAAAGACAAATTTACATGGGAATTTATACTATTAAACTCACCAAGCTTTATTTCTAATTAAACCTACCTAGGATCACATTATTAAACTCTTCACCAGCATCCTTTTTCTGCAAAATGTTATATAGCTCCCTCTTGAACTCAAGATTCAATTTTCAAATAAAGTTTCTATGCAGATTTTTGCAATACCTCCTTATTTTTTAAAAAAAGGTATGCAGGTAGTCCTCAACTTACAGCCACAATTGAACCCAACATTTCTGTTGTTAAGTGAAACATTTGTTAAGTGGTTTTTTTCCCCCATTTTGCAACTTTTCTTGCCACAGTTGTTAAGTGAATCAATGTAGTTGATAAGTTAGTAACCCAGTTGTTCAATGAACCTGTCTTCCCCATTGACTGTGATTTTGACAAGGTTGCAAAAGGTGCTCACATGACCCAGGGACACTACAACCGTCATGAATATAATCCAGTTGCCAAGTGTCTGAATTTTGATCACAATTTTGATGTAACTTTGAACAGTCACTAAATGAACAGTTGTAAGTCAAGAACTACCTGCAATTTGCACACAAAAGAAATGCTTGATATGCTGAATTTGCCAAAGTCCCAAAAGCTTTTGAAAAGCTCAGCTTTTCAAGTTGCCTTACCTTTTCACAACAATAAAACTTATTATAGGTTTTACACAAACTAATAGGCTTGTGTGAAGGTATAATAGAAGAAACACAATTGTGTAAATGCTGGTGCAATGCAGTCTCCTCCATTATTATTTTTTCTAGCTTAATAACCAAGTTCAGAGGGTTTTTTCCAGTTTAGCTGTCCTTTTGCATTTACCCTCACCCAGTTTCTCCAAAGTAGGGCCCTCTGCCCCATGTACTTATCTGGCCATGCAGGAATCAGAATATTTATTTTGGTTTCCTATCTTGATTTTTTTTATAGAATCCATCGGTTAATTATTGATAACTCACTTGTGGAGGATGATGGTGAATACATGTTTGTTCCAGATGCCTACAATATCAACATCCCTTGTAAAGTTCATATTATAGGTAACTCCTATGTTTCTCTCTTTTTTGGTTCTGTCATGTATTTATATAATAAGACAAGTGCACAGGGGTGGAGTAGAAAATGAATAGAATGGAATAGAATGGAAAGGAAAAGAAAGAAAGGAATAGAATGGAGAGTGGATATGAGGGTGCAGTGGAGTAGAGTGGAATGGAATGGAATGGAGTACAAAATGAATGGAATGGAGTGGAGTGGAGTGAGTGGAGAATGGAAAGTGGAGATGAGGATGGAGTGGAGTGGAGTGGAGTACAATGGAGTAGAAAATGAATGGAATGGAATGGGAGTCCTGATTATAGCACACTAAAGAACTAAAAATATTGATGCTTTTTATTACTGCATCCAAACAAATCAGTTTGCTAATAAATATCTGAAACAATACTTAGGAAGAACTGATTTAAAAATAATAAGGAATATATTAAATGTTTTTAAACTTACATGTAGAAATTGTTTCTCTGCTATCCTCTATATTGTATGAGCATTTTTCCAGGGATATGTTTGAACCAGAGACTAGGACACAATTACTGTATGTCAAAGCATAAATTAGTTTATTGGCAGTGCTGGAGATAACACAAAAAGTGTAGGATTATATGCAAATCAGGGTGTACACATAATTAGAAATAGCAACATGATGTGACTATAGTACATCATGTATCTAATGAAGACAATGTTAGGGTTAGGGTGTAACTATGAGATAACAGAGCAGAACTGTAAAAGACAATGGGGGTTGAGAGAACAAAAAAAGCTGCAATTCATATACATAATTTCTTTTTGAGGAGTTAATGTTACAAAGTTAATCAAAATGTTCCTACTTCTCAGAGTCTGTTTGCTCTCTGGTAACATTTCATTGCTCACCTTCTAAATGTTTTTTGGCTGAGCTGACAATTCAGTTACCCTGGGAAAATGGTTTTGGGCAGAGGGTGACTGCTAAATTTGATACTATATAGCTGAGCTAGTTTAGGTTTTTCTAGGAAGGTTAGTTTGACTCCCAAAACTCTTCTTCAGAATATTATATTAACTCTGCCTTTGTATGTACGAAGATGTTTCTCCATTCTGAGATGGAAATGTCTCTTGTATCACACATTCAGATTTTAAGATGTTTTCCTAAGTACCTTGGTTTTACAGATCCTCCTAAGATTCACCTTGATGGCCTTGGTGATAATAACACAGTAACAGTTGTCGCAGGAACAAAATTACGTCTTGAAATCCCTGTTTCTGGGGAGCCTCCACCAAAGGTTATGTGGAGCAAGGGAGAGAAGGTAAAATTGTAATTTAAACAAATACATCTTAAGTCCAATCTTTTAAACAAAGAGTGGTATATAAGCAATGGCATGAAAGGGGTGGCATAGTGGTTAGAATGCAGTACTGCAGGCTAATTCTGCTGACTGCCGACTGCCAAGAGTTTGGCAGATCGATTTCCACCAGCTCAAGTTTGGCTCAGCCTTCTTCTATCCTTTCGAGGTCAGTAAAAGGAGGAGCCAGTTTGTTGGGGGCAATATGCTGACTCTGTAAACTGCTTAGAGAGGGCTGGAAAGCACTGTGAAGTGGTATATAAGTCTAAGTGCTATTGCTATTGCTGAAGTACTCAGAATCTCTTTTACCAATAAGTACTATGCATCTGAACTAAGCTTAGGAGGGGTTATAAGGTGCTGAAGTTGCAATCACATCTAATAATCTACTTTCAGATAATTGGGTATATTAGTAACCATTCATAAAGTATCACAGGTATCCAGAAAAGATAGAAGGGATAATTGGTATCTTTGGGAGATGACAAACAGGTAGTCCTCAACTTACAACCAATTGGTTAGTGACCTGAAGTTACAATGGACCTCCCAATTGGTACTTATGATCTGGTTCTGAAGTTCTGATGGCCACACACATCTCCACAACATGTGACTACTTGTTGGGTGCTTGGCAAGCAGCCTGTATTTACTGCCGTTTCCAGTGCCTGTGATCAAATCATCACATTTTGCAATGTTTTTACTTCAGCCGAAATTGGCCCATAACAAACAATTGGTTTGCTTAACAATCATTGCAAAAAGGTCATAAAATCAGAGAAGTCCCACAGTGAATTGCTTTACAACTATGATGGGCAGCTCCACTAGGATCATTAAGTCCAGGACAACCAGTAAAATTAGGAAAACATTAGGAATAGATCAACATTCTTTAATTTTTTTTCCTGTGAATTTAAGTCACCTACAAAGGCAATAGTAAAAAAAATCCAAGTTGGCCGCTGTGATGGTGTGATCAAAAATCCAGGCTTCGCATCTCTTTTTTAGGTGTGATTGTGGGAAGCCCCCCCCCCCCCCCCCCCCCCCCCCCCCCCCACCAGGAAATGTTTTTGGGAATATTAAGAGGCAGAATATTATATTTCCCCAAAGGAGGAATGGATAAACATACTCTTAAAGGCAGAAAGTAGCCCCAACTTCCTGCATAGTAAAACAGCCTCCAGCAGATGTCTGGAATCTTTAGAGATGGATATTTTGTGCCCATTAAGAAATCCAGGCCATCCTGTTTACAAACAAAACACCTTCAGCCACAGTTCCCCCAGGCTGAGATTAAAATTTACATGCCCCACACAAATACTAAGAACAGGATATGACCTTTAGGACAGAATAGGATTAACCCACCACCATTGAAATAGCAAGAGACACAAAAGCCCATTCATTGTACAATCCCAAAAACAGTTCAAACTTCAAAGTCACAGAAACCTATAAAGATCCACCCACTCATTCAACCAATTTTCCAGCTGTCCCAGAACTGCATGCTATTGTTCTGATTCCAATAAACAGAATCCTTCTTTCCAATCCACCTCCATTTTATGTCCAGCGCCTTTCTCTCAGCTTGGAAATGGACCAGATTTTTTTCTTCCAACATGGTGGATAAAAAATAGGCAAAGCTTCAATCATACCATCCTCACTGGCATGCTGTTGTTGTTTTTACCATACCCAGCAGATAAGACTGCCTACTATCCCTCTTAGTCGCTAGACCATTGTTTCCTAACTGTTTTGAAAACACTCATAAGAATATGTAGGTAGTCCTCAGTTAGGAACTGCCTCATTTAGCAACTCTTTACAGTTATAACCATGATGCAAAAGTAATCTTGCAACCAATCCTGGCATTTACAGCCTTGACAAGTCTATAAAGCCAAGTAACGCTGAAGTCAGATCCTAAGCACAGTTGCAGTTTCACTTATTGATCACTTCTTTTAATGACTGAATTGCTAGTCCAATTGTGGTCACTGAATGAGGACTACCTGTACAAGTGAGAAATATTGGTAGACATTAGCATGCAGCATCAATGCTTCCTTAATGCATGAGTAGGGAGATACATTTTAAGGATGCAAATATTTTTCCAAGGGGATTCAATAATATCTGTGACTGGGCCTTGAGCACAGTGGAATATGTCTTGCAAAATAACCATTTATCAAAAAATAAACTGGGAAGATTGCTGCTCCCCCAAGTTTTCCTTTATTAGCTCAAGTGATTTCCCCCACACATACACACTTTCCCAATAAATAGATATGCTTCCAAATCAAGACAAAATGGCAATCATGTACTTTTAATTGTGCTAAGAAAGTCTTGAGGGCACATGTTAAGCTGCAGCCAGTCTTTAAACATAAAGATGACTTGGTGGCATGGCGCTTTGCTTTATGGCTTGCCAACCTCTCATTCTGATTTTAAAAATTAAAAAAAACAAAAACCATTGTTAAAGTAAGCACAAACCCTGAGGTATCAAGAATGAGTCCATGGAGTGTCTGACAAATTCCTTGCTACATTTGTGCAGCTTCCATATGATTTATCCTAATTCAATTCTGATTGTCGATCCTCTGGTGATTTCTAACCGCCACCCCCTTTAAACTATTTTTCTCCCCCTACCCTATTCCCTTTTGCAAAATGATTGACAGTGGATCATGGATTCTGCATCCAGAATACGGGCAGAGAATTATCCAGACAGTAGTTGTTTGGTGATTGATTCAGCTGAAAAAGATGACTCAGGTCCTTACAGAATCCTGCTGAAGAATGAAGCTGGAGAAGACTCCGCCCTCATCAATATAAAAGTAGTTGGTATGTCAATGCTATGCATGGCTTTTATACTGAAGTAGCACCAATGCTCTTCCTATTTCAGCCTTTTCAAGCTGATGCCCTCAGTAAGTGTTGTGACTGCAAACTCCTATAAGTCCCAACCAGCATGAAAATTGACCTAATGACTTAGAATTCTGCAAAAGAGTATATTTTCAATCATTTTAAATGGTGTGGCTTTAGCTTTTCAATAGCTGTGAGTTAAAATAGGACTCTAAGTGATTTTTCCCCAAATGAATTTCTTTCTAATTCAGTAGAGATTTCATCCTGGAAACCTCAGCAATTTTAAATTGTTGGACTTTAACTCCCAGAATTTCTGGCTGGAGAATTCTGAGAGTTGAAATCCATACATTTTTAAGTTGCTGAGTTGAGAAACACTTATTTCGATTATAACATTTGTAACATTTCATTAAACATTATCTGTTTAATGAAAACTTGATGTGAAATCCCAACTAAATATGTCTTCAATCCAATCTTTTGAAACCAATAGGATTTAGCTTATTTGTGGTTAATTCCATAATGTAAGTGACTTTGGATTTTTTTAAAGTGAGTCTGGATATTTGTTCCAATATAGCTATAAGTAATGTTGTCTGAGATGAACAAAAATATTTGCTTTTCCAATAAAACTTAAAACTTCTAATTGCAACAGATATTCCTGATGCCCCAGAGGCACCCAATGTGATTGAGATAGGAGAAGACTGGTGTATTATGACCTGGGAACCTCCAGCCTATGATGGCGGATCTCCTCTCTTAGGTGTGTGGACCACTCATTGAAACTGGTATTTTAATGATTTTGTAGAATTATTTGGTGGTTCTTTGAAATGGAAGTATACAGTATTCATAAGTAGAAGGGTTTCAACTGAGAGTTTTTGCTCAAGGAAATGTGTCAGTTATTATTATTATTATTTAGATGGCATGGAGGTGACAAAGTGAAATAGGTCTTTTGAAAGCACTAAACTTCTGGTCTGATGGACTCTTATTAGGTCAGAGGTGTCAAACTCGATTTCATTGAGGGCTGCATTAGGGTTGTATTTGACCTCAGGGAGCTGAAGGGATGTGGCCAGGGTGGGCATGGCCAGCTCCATGTCACTCGTGTTGGGGGCACCTTTGGTAGAGTGCTCTACCAATGAAAACAGGCTCCCAAGCTCCATTTCCGGCTGCAACAGCTTCCTGCAACCCTTTGCCAGTGGAGATGGAGCTTGGAAGGACTGTGTACAGACCTCACAAGCTCCGTTTCTGGCCTCCTGCACCAGTCCTGTGGCACTCCCTCGCTGTTTCCAGGGCAGCCCCACATGCCACATCTAATCACCCCCAGATCTGGCCCCCAGGCCTTGAGTTTGACGCCCCTGGATTAAATCCTGAAATAGGTCAGTTGCATTTGCTCTTTTTAGAAATTCTGAGCCCTCAACTAATAGTTTTATGTTTATGTTTTATGTTTTATTTAGGATACTATATTGAAAGGAAAAAGAAGCAAAGCTCCAGATGGATGAGATTAAATTTTGATCTTATTAAAGAAACAACTTTTGAGCCCAAAAAGATGATTGAGGGAGTTGCCTATGAGGTGCGTGTGTTCGCAGTCAATGCCATTGGGACTTCCAAACCAAGCATGCCGTCAAAACCTTTTGTGCCTCTAGGTAAGTAAATCATAACTATGTATTTAATTATTCAAAACTTTCATTGAATGATTTTATTTGCAATACAGTACTGTAGCAGCCTGGAAATTAATTAAAAATACAGGAGATATTCATTGTCATAAAATCCAGGAAGAAAGATAGTTAATTTCATTCCGTTTCAGAATTTTTTTTAGAGTTCTGTAGAAATAGGAAGCAGGAAAAAAAAGTAATCTTTCTCACTTGATGTTGTAGTCATGATGCTTTCTTTTGTTTTGGTCTGGTCTGACATACTGGAATACCATCAGAAAGAAATACCTTCACCAATAAAGTTGGTGAAGTTGACCAATGTTAAACATTATTATTATTGATGATTCAATATTGGCTGCAGCTTCATTTTTAATTAACACATATTTTTCATCAGAAGATATTACAGAGCTGTGTAGGATCATATGTTCGCTGTTTCTCAACCTCAGAAGTGTTACAATGCATGGACTTCATTTCCCAGAATTGCTGGCTGAGAGAAAATTCTGGGACTTGAAGCCCACACATCTTAAAGTCACCATGGTTTAAAAACAGTGGTCTAGACTCCTGCATCCTTCTCAATAGCACCCAATTTACCATTCCTAAGGTTAATAGTTGTTCCTTTGCTAACTTTTGTCTATATTCTTCGTTTTATTTTAACAGCCATCCCCATTCTAATCCTTATTCCACTGACACTGCCGTTTCATTCCTCTTCTCTGTGTTTTGATGATTTTAAGATGATATTTCTTTTGAGCGATCAGATTTTTCAATTGTTTATGTTAAGGACTGCAGAGGATGAGCTCAATGGTTCTAAATATCACCTAATGAAAACAAGAGAATTGTACAGATAAGAAGCTGGTATTATCATCTGTATTTTCCAAATGCAAAAAAATTATTAAGATTAATAATGCGACACTGAAAGTCTTTCACATGCTTGTTAAATGGGTTTAGTCCCCTTTTATGACTTTTTTTGCAATGGTTGTTAAGTGAATCATTGCAGTTGATAAGTTAGTAACCTGGTTGTTAAATAAACCTGGCTTTTGACAAGGTCACAAAAGATGATCACATGACCCAAGGACAGTGCTACCATCATTAATATAATCCAGTTGCCAAGTGTCTGAATTTTAATCACATTACCTTGGGGATGCTGTAAGATTCTTTGCTAACTAATATAATGAGCATGAAAATTGTTTAGTGACCTACAAGAGATTGTGTATATTTTGTTAGGCTAGTGTCAATACTCTCTTTTGTTATTTTTAGCTGTCACAAGTCCTCCTACTTGTCTGGCAGTGGACTCTGTCACTGATACTACAGTTACCATGAAGTGGCGACCACCAGATCAGATTGGAGCTGCAGGTTTAGATGGTTATGTCATAGAGTATTGCTTTGAAGGAAGTAAGTCCTAATCATATTTCATGCAAAAGATAAAATATACCCATTTTTTTCTATTCAGCAACAGCTTTGATTTTACTTATACCTGTAGGTCAAAGTATGTAAAATATAAAGCTTCTCCAAAGTAAACAAAAAAAAAGTCCATTTCAAAATTTGTGTTGAATTCCCAACAGAAGTTCTTAAGTAACTAGTAAACTGTGTATTGTTCTGTTTTATACAGCTTCTCAACTGTTGAATCAGTGAAAACATCTGGCTGTGGATGATTTGTGCCATTGATTATACTAAAGATTACCATGTTGGATTTTTATGAATGTCAACATACATTGCTATTTCTATTTTAGTAAGCTAAGTGGGTACATCAAGAAACAAAAGAGCTTGAACAATGAGGACATATCTCAAATGTAGATTGTATCTGCCATTTTGACATGACCCACCTTGAATTAAATACAATAGTGATATATTTTACAAACAAATTTGGTATACAGTCTATATATTCTCTACTTTTGCACATTGGTATATAAATTATACATGCTACATTTTTACTGCCTGTGTATATGTATGCATGCAAATACACAGACACAAAAATTATGTTACTCATGTATATATTGTAAAGTTTTAGAACAGAACAATCTAGAGGGTTAAATAATACTTTTTGCTTACTTTGCTATATCTCTTGTTATGCATTGTTTCTTTTGTATGTCTTTTTTAGTATCTGGATTTCTGTATTCTTCATTTTCTTTCCTGCAGTACTTTTTCTTTCCACTAATGTCTCTATAAAACTTAATCTCTTACCTGGATCTTCAGCAATCTTTTTCTTTAACTGTCAATCTTTCAACTCCATTTCTTCAGTTCTACCTTTTCTTGCTTATACTTATTTATTCTATCAACCAATCTCTCCTTTCTCTGCTTCTCTCTCTTGCTGGCCTGTTCCTCTCAAATGGGGTATTAGTAGAACCACTTTAATCAAAGGCAAAATTTATTTTAAAAAAATCTTTTCAAATATACAAAACCAACCATAGAAAAATAGACAAACGTCACGACAGTTTAAAAGTTAATAAAATATACTCTTTCATTGGAAACAGTACTATAACAGTACTATATTCTAAATAGACCTATGTAAATAAATAGCTTCAAAGGATCAAACAACAGTATTTACATTACAAGAATGGAATGAAAGGTTTTTAAGAACGGAAAATAAAAGGAGCAAACTTACTCTTTTCTCCTGTTTTGTGGGGTTTTGTCACAGATTAACAACAATGAAAAATAGATGGAGTAAAAATAAACTTATTTTTGTAAATTTAGAGTTAGATGTTACTCAGAAGTGTTCTTCAGCTAGTGAAAAACATTATCATTATGAGATCCCCATATTTGTCTTCCATTTATTTTTGAAATGTATTCTATATGATACTTCCTCTAAACCAATCACTCGGTGGAAAGACTGGCACACAATCATCTGATTCAATCCAAAAATCATGATATGGTAAAATATTGTTTTCTTATATGCTACAAGGAATCACTAACAGAAGCATGGATTCTGTTGAGATCACTGTACCAACTCTGTGGTTGACAGATTCATGATATGCCCCAGAGCTAATTGTCCAGATCCTGAATATGATGTTTCAAGGCACACCTATCCTCCATACATTCAGTACAAAGTACAGGATGCAAAAGGCAGAGAGCTGCAGGTGCCAACTATCCAGCAAGGAGTATTGGCAGACCCGGAGTTTCTGATAACCAACGGATTTCAACAATAGTCATGCCAGTAGTCTTGCCAACCATCTTAAACCTGTATATCCCTCCACGTATATCTTTCTTCTTCTTTCAGTTTCCTCTTGCTTATCCTGGAACATGCTTTAATTTTCTCTTCCTCTTAAATCTCTTTTTCTGAATGGATGCCTCTCGCCTATCTCTTTTTTTTTTTTTTTCCACATTTCTCAATTGTCTTGGTTTCTGATTCTGATTCTGTGGATGCTCGGCTATACCAGTCCAAAAGGCACTTCTGCCTATGACTGTAAATCCCCACCTGTGCTTTCCAAATCATTTAGGTTCCTCTGACTCTGGTTCAGAGCAAAATATTAGTGAGGACACAGCCGGGGGCCCAGGGCAGATGGAAGAGAAGACATCCAAACCCTGTGAGTGTTCAGCATCAAGCTTTTTCTTCCCTTCTTTCTCGCCTCTTTTCATTGTACCATTTTCCTTTGATCAGTGGTTGGAGCTGAAACACTGGGGGGTGAAAAGACAGGCAATGTTTTATCCTAAAGGAGTTGTTGATGCCACACATAAATGCATACTTGGTTTTACTGTTTTGTCAACTCTGTGATCATCACAAGTTCCTCTTCAAGGTGCAGTATGTGTGTACTTACTAATAGAACACTAACTAACTATGTTATGCTTGTCTGAAAATGGATGTCTCTGAGTTAATAATAAAAATGAATCCCAGATAAGGTCTACCAACGGAAGTATGTAATGCTGACTTTCTGGAGGCAAGTCATAATCCGGAGGGTAATGTATGCAATATATTTAAACATTCTTACTGAAAGAGCAATAGAGATCGATGGATAGGCAGATAGATTCCAATAAAATCAATGGAATTTGGAAAACCTGGGAAATAGTCAAGGAGCTGAATTTCTATTTTAATACACACAACTGTTTTTTCAGCTCATACCTGTATAGTATCTCTATGAGATGCATCATTATTATGGTTGGTCACATAGCCAGCCAGATATTTAGACTGGATCTGGAATTTTTATCCACCTATTGAGTCCTTCCCAAGGTTGCTTGCTATTATTATTTTGTAAGTAGAAAAGAAAAAGTAAGAAAGTTGAAATAGAATTTGAATGTGGACAGAACTTCTCCAGAAATTGGCTGGCAAATTCTTAAAAATTGAGGTCCACACATCTAAGGTTGAGAAATCCTGGTGCAGAGGTTCAGATCCAATAGCCCAGATACAAAAGCACAAAAGGTTTCTTATAGCATGAGCCTTTTTTCTGCAAGAAGATATTATTTAAACAGCATTGAATGCTACTTCTTTTTTATTTTACCATAGAATGTACCTTTGGTATCAAAAGAACATTTTAAATAACATTGCTAATTAAGGCCTTTGAAAATGTTTTTGTCTGTATAAGAGATTTATGTTGTCCTTATATTTCTGTTGTCCATGTCAGTAAAATTGGTTGTCTGTATTAAGATAAAAGCCATAGTTGGATGGTAATAAAAAATAATAATTACAGAGAAAAATTAAAATCATATTGTAATAATAGAATAAGAGATTTACACATATATTTGCTAAAAAGAAAATATTTCTTATAGTTTCTTCTTTAGATTTTCTTTCTTTTTTCGTTCTTTGTTCTAAATATTAGTTTCTCTTAGCTTTTATATTTCATTTATTTTTTTTAATAAAGTTATCATAATATCACAGTTTGCATCACATAAAAATAAGCTGTTTATGCATTGTTCAGATAAATTAATTCAGTTTTCATGCAGTCTTCTAAACTTAATACTGCTGATAATAGCAAAATAACATTTGAAAATTGGGGAATATTTGCTTGCTGGAAGTTTCCCAAGATACATACTGGAGCATTTTCTGCAGGGGTTACATTAACACACAACATATTTACACTAGGATTTAATTAGATTACTCTGCTTGCTCAGAGTACTCAAAGATTTGCAGGATATTTTGGAGCTTTGGCATTTTGTTGAAAGAAAATATTGTCAATACAGGGGCAGGGGGAGGCATGGATTGTTGACCAATCAGCAAAGCTTTCTTTCTGAATATAGAAAACTATGATACAGAGTGAAAATATATTGATATGAAAACCTCTTCTTTTTTAAAAAAAAAAATCAGGAAATCATTAAGATCCAGAATTTGGATAGATTCCATGTGGAAATGCATTTTTCCAACTGTCAATTATCATGTTTCTTGCATATTAACATTTATCGTAAAAAGAGAGCATAATAATATTGGTGGGCTGGCCTTCAGGATTAAAATTCTTATGTCTTGACCGTCTGTCTGTCTGTGCCTGTCTGTCTCTTATTGAATCTTCTTTGCAGGCTAGTTATGTTTGTTTCTTCTAGTTGCACCATAATAGGAGCTAATGACTTGACCAGAAATGTGCAAAATTCCATAACATATCCAGTATAGACTTTAAAAGCAATTTTTTTAAAAAAACTATTGAACTGGATATTATCTGTCTTTCTATATAATTCTGAATGTTTTTCTTTCTCCTTGTCTTTTTCTGTTTTTATTCCACTTTAGCGGAAGAATGGATTGTGGCCAATAAAGATCTAACAGATAAAACAAAATTCACCATCACTGATCTTCCAACTGGATCAAAAATCTTTGTCCGAGTAAAAGCAGTAAATGCTGCAGGTCCCAGTGATCCCCGGATGCATCCACAACCTATTTTAGTTAAAGAAGTTATAGGTGAGGCTAATTATTCATTTGTAACTCATATAAGCATTGATAAAAGTTATTTTTCCTTGCCTAATAGCTGTGTCATCTTTCTTTACCTGTTGCTTTGATTTCCAATTTTAAAAAAATCCATACATAGTGAGGGGCAAATTACATGGGTAATTTGTTAACTAACATCGTTACTTTGTATTTTAATCTGATTTATTTTCTCTTTTTTAAAAATGATGTTCGGATTTATTAGCTTTTAACATTCCTAAACTAATAAACAAGCTGGAAACTAGCTCCAGGTAAGAAAAAGTTTGTTAATATAAATTGGGCTCTGGCTTATCTATTTTGTGAGCTCTAAACAGCCTTTCTCCTTACAATTTATGCCCCTTCAGATGTCAGACCTCATTTTAATAAACATGCATGCTATTATCCTGTCCAACCAACTTTCCTCTTTCAGATTTCTTTGTTATGTTGACTATAAAAGGGGATGTAAGCTAAAGATCTGTGTTCCCTCTTTTAATGAGAGGAACCCCTTTTGTCTGAATATTCTGATAAATTGTAATAAAATGATCTTCCTGTCTTGGTTTGTCTCATTGGAAAATATGCATGCCAAGGCACGAGCTTGAAAAAGCCATATTTGGCCTTCAATTGCCACATTTTGATCTTATGAATTAAGAAACAAATTTCTTTCTTTAAATTAAGAACCTCCAAAGATTCGTCTGCCGAGACACTTAAAGCAAACTTATATTCGAAGGGTTGGAGAAGCTGTGAATCTTGTTATTCCTTTCCACGTAAGGAATGCATGAGTGTTTGTGTGTCTATATGCATAAAGGTCTATATCTCATATTAGGTGCTGGGTATGTAACTAATATAATTGCACTGATAACTTCTACATTTGAAGAAGTTCTAAGAAGTTTCAATATTTGCTAAATGTCAGCAAATGTTTAAAAAGATCCTTGTGTTCAAAATATGGGAATTATAATACTGATCAATTTATTTGCAATACATTTACAAATATATTCAACTGTAATCAGAGTAACTTTAAACGCCTTTAATTGTCACTCGATGTCATAGAGTACTCCAACTCTATACATGAAAGAAAGGCCCATTTTTAAAATATACATTAATTCTAGTAATCTCATTACCTTACCTCAGTAAGGGTAAATTTGACAACATCACTGATTTATTCTTATTTACCAAAATTAGGAATTGCCCATCTCACTCTCAGAGAGGGTGGCATACAGTTAAAAGCATAACAATCATATAAGAATGCAGTATATTAGAAGAAGGAGCCAGGTAGAAACAAAATTAAAAATAAGTTGAAAGTATGTAAAAGTTAAAGTTAAAAATAAGTAGAAACAAAATTATAATAAGTTAAAAGTCAGGAAGGAGCTTTACACTCCAATCACTCCCAGGGTTGTGTGCTGCTCTGGGAGCCCCATGCAAAATTTGGAACAAGCCCTTATTGAAAGGCTAGCAGAGTGGGGACCCACTCCCCTTTTGGGAGAGGATATTCCATGGGGCAGAAGAAATGGCAGGGAAGGCCGTCTTCCTGGATCCTCCAGTTGTGCTGGCAGGAAAATTCTGGGTACTGAAGTCCACACAACTTAAAGAGGCCAAAGTTTAGAAACTCTATAACAGCGACAAAAAATGAAGGGAACCAGTTTAGAAAAGACTGATAGCCAAACATATTCTACCTGCTTAATGTCAAGCCTGAAATTAACATATGTGTAGCTTCAATCAGCAACTCACTGATTTTAATTTGCAGTTCTTTGCTATTCAAACATATTTAAAGAATATCTTTAAAAGGAAATAATAATCAAGGTGTATATCTCAATGGATACATATCTGGGGGGTTTCCTTCCACAGGGAAGGCCAAGACCAAAAGTATCTTGGAAGAAAAATGGTACCCATGTAGACAAGAACCAAATTAATATCCGCAACAGTGAAAATGATTCTATCATCTTTATCCGAAAAGCAGAGAGGAGCCATTCTGGGAAATATGACATGAAGGTCAAAGTAGATAACCTCGTGGACAAAGCCACAATAGACATTCAAATAGTTGGTATGTATTGAAATTCTACCTGAGTAGAATATGGCCTGTTAGCTCTAATACCTTGACGATACTTTGGCCTTACAATAACATAAATTTTATATAGGGAGCAGGATAAAAAGAATAAGAAATTGTGGAGGGCTGGATTAAGTCCATTGTCTGGAGTCTTCCATGCCTCCTCAAAAATTTAAGAGCTTGAAATAAGCTACATTATGATCCTTACCATATCTATGGCCCCTACAAACCAGAGTTAAGGCCAAAGCTACATTTCATCTGGATGTGAAAGGCCTACAATCTAACAGTTACAACACAGTCTTGCCTGTAACAAGGGGAGAAGCCAAAGATGTCTTCAGAGGGCACAGAAGGACAAATTCTGATACATGTATAATGTATAATGAGGTATCAGACAAGAGCTGCAATTGACATACATCATTACAAACATCTTTAAAGCCAGTATGTTTTGGTATCATTAATGTGATAATGCCATGACACATGATGTCCTTTTGACATCATCATGAAATGTCACTGGAAGAAAGTTAACAGAATAATAGAGTTGGAAAGGACCTTGGAGGTCTTCTAGTCTGGCAAAGCTGGCTGAGGAATGCTGGGAGTTGAAGTCCACAAGTCTTAAAGTAGCCAAGGTTGGAGGCCCCCTGTTCTAGTCCAATCCCCTGCTCAGACAGAACACTCTATGTACCAGGTTATGATATCTCAATGCAAAGCCAACAATATCATAGTAACAATAGCTTGACTATCCTAACCTTCAGTTCTTGGCCATCCCAGCATCAAAAGATTACTATTTTCTTTTTTGTATCTTGCTGCTATTTTCATAAGCTGGCCTGAAAATCATTTGATAAAGTAAAATAAAATTTAAAAAGCAAAAGCCGTGTTGCATAGGATGTGACTGAAAGAATTAAATGTAGTGAAATACGAGTGGATTTTTTTTGTGCTGGAAAACATTAACTGTCTTCAGATGCACTTGCAGCAGTAAGCAAAGTTGAACTGTCACTCAGAAATAGAGGAGGAAGTCACATGAAGGAATCAGGGACAGGAAATGCCACCTTACGAAACTTTTGGCCACTCTTTAAAAGAACATTAAAACCTGCCAAACTAAGACAAGCTGGAAAAATGACTGTACTGTTAAAGTTTCCTCTTTACTGCTACAGATCGTCCAGGTCCACCCCAAGCAGTAAAAATTGCAGAAGTCTGGGGAGAAAATGTTGCTTTGGAATGGACACCACCAAAAGATGATGGCAATGCCAACATTACCGGTTACACAATTCAAAAAGCAGACAAAAAGAGTATGGTAGGTAGACTTTCTAACTTGGCGAATCTCAGGATAAGCTGCCTGGTTCTCACATAGAAGGCCTCGAAACTCTGCTATTATTTGGGAATCTAAATGACTTTTGAAAACTGGAATATCTGCCATTTAAATATTCTTAAACTGACACTTTTATAAAAGACCTTGTGTGAACATAATAAGTATCTTTGTCAGGTTGTCTTTGTTCCTGGTATTGTTACGTTCAAATGATTCCCTACAGCCTCACTATTAAAGCTATCATATTTGTTTCTGCACATCTTCTTTATATAATGATTTGCTTGTTTTAGGAGGTAGGGGGATTGACTCAGACTTTAGGCTATTGCATTAAATTGGCTGTTGGTATAGTTATTTACTTACAGACATTATTGCTATTCCTATAAATTCTTGTTAGTTGCCCAGAGACAAACTGTGGTAAAGGAGGTCATATAAGACTTCTAAGTTAGTTAGTGGCTGGATTGAAAATAGTTGAAAATAAAGTTAAAAAATAAAATTATTTATTAGGGATTTTTGAAGGGGTGTTTTCAGGGGTGTTTTCTACCGGTTCTGTCCACCTCTGTAGAACCGGTAGCTCTGAAGAGCAGCAGACATAGAACCAGTTCTATGTCTGCTGATGTTTTTGCCTGCCACCCACCTGGGCTCTTACCTGATCTTTATTTCCTGATTTTTCAACTTCAGCTGCCAAACGAGGCACAGCTGCAGTTAGAAAAGCAAGAAAAGAGGGCTGTTTCAAAGGCTGCTTCTCTGCAGGCAGCTGCTGCTGATGGCTTGGCTCGCAGCCTGCAGGGAAGCTTGTAAATCCCGAACCGGTAGTTAACCCTGTCTTATCCCACCCCTGGGTGTTTTGCTTTGATGAAGCTCTAAGCACCACTTAAAGGTACTTCACAATTATTCCTTTACTTTTAAAGCAGGAATGGGGTTTCCGTGTTATTTCCTTTGAAATAGTTCAGAGCCACTATTAACATTTCCCCCTCAGAGCTCACATGACTGGAGAAGGTGGAGAAAACCCTGTGTTTTTGCCAACCCAAAAGGCCAAGAGAACTTTTGGGTTGGGTAGCAGTGTTGGAAGAAATATCCTTTTGGGTTCAGTTCCAAGTGGGGAAGAAAGACACTGGAAACATGGTGACTGCTTGGAAATATGGTTCATTGATGAGCAGGATGGGTTCTTGGGCAGGAAAAAGGGAAGAAATGCTGAGAGTCCCTGGGTTTTATGCCCTCTGTTGGGCTTTGAATTTGAGCTTGTATTCTGATTGGTTGTCAGACTCCCATGGGGCCATGCAGGGGTAACTCTGTAGGTTGTCTTTTGAGTCCCAGGCTTGGTTGACTCTTTCTGGGTGATGATGTAATGAAAGGGCTTTGAGCAATTCCTATTATGGCTCTGCCTCAAGGAGGTAGATCTTTGTTATGTAGAATAGACTGGCCCAAGCCTTAATTAACAAAGGTGGGAGGCTGAGTTTCTGCCTCTCTGAATTTCTACTTCTCTTTTAGGGGAAATATTCTGTCTTTTTCATATATTCTAAAATATTTCATTTTTCTAAGATAGGGGTGAGTTTTAACTTCCAACAGCAGGCTGCAGGAACCTCATTCCTGCCTCCTAAGAGAGCATGAAGCAGACTGGGGGCACTGAGTGGGTGGCAGGATCAGCCCAAAGGATCTTTGGTGGCATTGAGAATCTTCCAGGATAGACTATTCCAGTGCAGGCCAGAGGGGATTCCATAACACACGTCAAAAAGGCCAGCTGAGAGATACGATATCCCTTTGCTGCACACTTAAGGCACTTCTGTCAAGGTAATTCATAACTTGTCCCAATGAATGGCTAGCAAAACAAAAGATTTCCTTTCACATCATGAGATCTTGAGAAGCAGAATCAAAGTCAAACCAAAATAGAGGGTAAAAGAAAATGAAAATAAACAAGCTAAAAAAAATTAACACATACCAAATTGAAGATGCGGTACAGATTAAACCACCGGGCTAGAAACCAAGAAGCTGTGAGTTCTAGTACTTCCTCTAAGCATGAACCCAATTGGGAGACTGGGCCAATAATTCTCTCTCAGCTCTTGGAGGGAGACCACGGCAAACCAATTCCGAAATCTTGCCAAAAATCTTGCCAAGACTTGTGCAGGAATTTACCAGGAGTCAAGAAGACACCAAAGCCAACAGATTGAGGAGGCTATACAAGATTAATTAACAATATTTTATATATGCTTCATGCAGTTAGCAGAAATCTATTTCTGGAAGTCTTTCTGTAGGGAGACCCATCTATTATCTACTTCAGGGTTTCTTTTCCCTATGCCAAATTAAGATTTAGTATCCCAGACTGATTTTTTTTCTGCCAGTTTTATCCTTTGTTGTGCTTTACTGGTTGAAGCCATTCAGAAAATATTTCTTTCAATATAAACACAGTATAATATTTATATATACGTTGAATAATAGTAATAACATTTATCTTTTCATCTATAGCAATAGCAGTAGCATTTAGGCTTATATACTCCCCCTGTGGTTGGACTTAAGTGTAATTTTGTAGTACAGTTTTGTAGTACACAAAATTGTCTGCTACAATGTCCTACCAGTCAATGATTACTTCAGCTTCAACTGCAACAATACAAGAGCACACAACAGATACAAACTCAATGTAAACTGCTCCAAACTTGATTACAGAAAGTATGACTTCAGCAACAGAGTGGTCAATGCCTGGAATGGACTACCTGACTCTGTTGTTACATCCTCTAACCCCCACTCCTTTAACCTCAAACTATCCACTATTGACCTCACCCCATTCCTAAGAGGTCTGTGCACAATTGTGCCTACCATCCCTGTCCTATTGAGCCCATTTATAAGTACCTATTTCCTGTATTCTTACTCATGTTTATATTTATACCTATTATCTTGTAAGCAATTGACAAATCAAATAAATAAATAAATAAATAGACTGTCTGGGTAGTTTATAATATTGAAGCTTTATTTTCACATCGCACCCAACAATTTGAGTCCTCATTTTACCGGCCTTGGAAGGATGGAAGGCTGAGTCAACCTTAACCCCATCAGAGTAGAACTCCAGGCTGTGGGCAGAGTTAGCCTGCAATACTGCACTCTATATTACTATTTCATATGTTTAAATCCAAATGTACAGATAAACTTCATTTAATATTGCATATCTCATTTGTCTTTTAAAGTGGGGGGTGCTTATAAAATGCAGTCATTCCTCAGGCTGCAGCATAATACAGATAGATACTTCTGGATTGATGTCTCAGCCAGGCTACCCCTGAGTGCATAACTCTAGTGGCATTACAAGCTCAGGTTAATTTGTTCTATCTTTCAGGAATGGTACACCGTCATTGAACATTATCACCGGACCGCTGCTACTATTACGGAACTTGTAATGGGAAATGAGTATTTCTTCCGCATTTTCTCTGAAAATATGTGCGGCCTCAGTGAGGATGCCACAAGAACAACAGAAAGTGCTGTGATTGCTAAGGATGGTTAGCTAAAACTCTGAAATTCCTGAACTATCTGACACAAATACGACAATGGAAATCAGCTAAAAGAGATTTGGGAGGCTTATATTAATCTATTCATTATATTAAGCTGCCATAGTTTTAGCAACCACATCATTATGTAGCATAGCCAATCATGTTAATAATGAACATTGAAAATACTTTATTCTTTTTAAAAAATATTGTACAGTTTGGAGGGAAAGGATAAAATAATGGAGACTCTGTTCTTGTTTGAGCTGTAACAGAAACACATCTACATTTGGAAGAGAAAAAAATGTTAAAATTACTTGGATTTTTTTTTTCATGTATCCCATCTGCTAAAAAGCATGGGTATTATATCTAATTTGCAAAAATACTAATTGGAAGCAAGGTATCCCATGTGGATTTTGCACAACATTGTCCTGTAGGTTCTCAGTAAAACTGAATGCACCATAATTATCAATATCAAGAAAAAGTCATTTGTGACCATTGACTTCTCTTGCACAGAGAAACATGGTCAGGAAAGTGACTTAAAATTTTTCAAATAACAGCACTTTATCCAAAACTATTTAAGTGCCCTACGACCCTATTTTAAGGAAGATTTAAGGATCCTATGGATTCATGCCACCTGTACAAGAGAAATGTTCAGCCTTGTATCCATTCAGAACACCAGTATACATTAAACACGGTGTTTTGCTATCTTGAAGGGAGAAGAAATTTGTTTAGTTCACACTTTAGGCAGAGATAGTACATTTTCATTCTTTTCTTGAAAGATAGTCTGCAATCCACCAGGCAAAGGATATAATGGTGGAAAACAGCTACTAGCCAATCAGAATGTCAAACCAATCAAAAACATTTTCTTCCTCTAATCTCATTTATATTCTTTGAGGTATTAGATGACATGCTTCTTCCTCTTTAATCCTGCCCAACAAAACCAATGGGCAAGAAAGATTAAGTTTTTAAAAAAATTATAGGCAATTAGATTATGAGTCCACAAAACATAGAATTTTCAAAGGTCCATATTCAATTTCTTTATATTTAGTGTTGTCTATAAATGTCATGGAAAAAAGTTTGAACTCTTATTCTAGAACTCTTGAAGGAAGAAATCTTTGATGATGTATCTTTTATTGTGGATAGTTTATAGAGTAGGTTGCAGACAACTGAACAATATGTACTATGCAGTATCTCTTCCCAGGATTATAGGTCAGCTGCAGAGGTTAGCTTCATGACCCAGGAAATAAAGTTGCTGCTTTTAAGAATTAGAAACACATACCACATTTACTTGCCAGTACTTTCACAAGCCACATTGGAAGTATTACACAGTTCCACAATTTACTGATAAACTTTGTTCTTATGTAGATAGCAATTGGGGAAGTGAACATGTTACAAAATTCTGTCTTTTAGCAATTCTTGAACTTCTCTTTTGCAGGTAAAGTGTACAAAAATCCAGTTTATGAGGACTTCAATTTCACTGAACCACCAATGTTTACTCAGCCTTTAGTTAATACATATGCCATATCTGGTTATAATACAACTTTGAACTGCAGTGTCCGAGGAAATCCAAAGGTAAGATACTAATCTAGTAAGAATCACAAGTACACAAGAGAATTTTAAAAAGATGTTGATAAGACAAATCAGGTACAACAATATTTTTCAAACTTGGCAGTGTGAAGAAGTACGGACTTCAACTCCAAGAATTCCCCCAGCCAGATACGTCCGCAAAATGCAGCGGGCAAGTAACCTTTCCTCCTAAAAACCTCCTCATCTGCAGAAACTGAACATCACATATAAAAGTTCCACACATGTGCAGAGCCCCATTAGAACCTATATGTGTAATGTAGAATAGCAGTCCTCAACCTTTGTGGCTTGGCGGCCTGGCTGGGGTGGGGGGGAGAAGAGAACTGTACCTCATGAGTGCACGTTTATGTAGTCCTTCGCCTGAGTGGTGGGCCAGCATGAACACGCAGCCCTTGCACCCATGCAGCCCTTGCATAAGCTGTGGGCTGGCACATACCCATGCAAGTGTCCACCAGCATGCCACAAGCACAAGTTGGGCTACGCATGCACACTCTGGCCACCCGCTCATGCAACCCAATTCCAAATAAGGCACGGCTTGGTAGTGGGCCATGGGTTGGGGACCCCTGCTGTAGAACCTATATGCAGTGGTGGGATTCAAATGGTTGTACCACCGGTTCAGTGGGCATGGCTTGGTGGGCGTGCTTTGCACGCACACAGAAGCTTTTCTACTGACCTTCTCCTGCACTCTCCCTGTGTCTTCATCAGCTGACCTGCAGCAATCTGCTGTGTTGCGTGATGCAGCTGAGCTTCAAAAGGAGAAAATAGAGGTCAGTATGGAGCCAGGGCGGGTGAGTGGGCCCAGCAGCTGATCACTGAAGTGAACCGGTTCGCTCCCAGATGATCTTCGGAGCTACCAGTTGGGCCAAACCGGTAAAATCCCACCCCTGCCTATATGTGTGGACTTCAACTCCCAGAATTCTGGGAGTTGAAGGCCACATAGCTTCAATTGCCAAGATTGAGAAATGCTGAGGTATAAGACTGCTATTTCTTCATCTCACTTCATCTCACTTCTTGAACGTTATATATATATAGGTTCTAACGGGGTTCTGCATAGGTGCTGAACTTTTATATGTGATGTTCAGTTTCTGCAGCTGAGGAGGTTTTTAAGAGGAAAGGTCACTTGCCCAGTGCATGTTGAGGACATACCTTCCATTCTCTCCTTAATTCTTTTTCAACTATTGGGGGTCTGCATCATCTAGAACTTTCTGTGCTCTAGTTGGGTTAAAATTTATTTTTTATTTAATACAGGGAAATATACTGGTCTTTAACTGTAATAAATATTTTGAAATGTGAACTTTGGAGGAAAGAGAGGAGTGTCCCTGTGAGGTAACATATGGCATTGTAACTCATGTAATGTCCCCTGTTCCTAGTTGTAATAGCACCTAGAAAATCCATAGATGTAAATGCAAAACTGACCACTCAAATATACTTGTTACCAGGTAAACTGTTTGTTCTTCTGCTACATCACTCTAGAGCAAAATAAATAATTTCATCAGTGCCCCGATACAAACCTTCATTTCCCCATTTCTACCCATTGTGTTTCACCTCTTTTCCTTAATCTGATAATTATTTGAGTTTTTCTTAGAATTGGAAGCTAGCACAAATGCAATTTATCAGGGAGGGATGTTTACAATATCTGTCACAATACTTCATAAATTGTATGACGTCTTTATTTGAACCATATGTCAGATTTATGGTTTTGCTCAGACTTGTTTCTATCTCTGTGCAAAGAACCTGAAGTTTGGCAATGAAATAGATTTCTTGCTAATTAAAATTAGGAAAAACTGTCCAATATTTCCTGTATATTATTCCCAAAGAAAATATATTTATATTGGGAGGACTGATGAGTTTTTAAAAATCTTACTATGATGAAAGTATTTACATAAGGTATTCTTCTGGTTCTCCAGTTCTGGAATTTTGTTTTTATTAGATATATTAAAATAACCACCTTTGTTTAACACTTTTAATGGCCTCTTTTAATGGTGTAATGTGAAAACCATGTGTTCAATAAAAATGCATGTAAAATATGCATGTAAAATGTTGCATTTAAAAATCACATTTGAGAAAGCTGTCCCACAAACTAGCTGCAGAAATTGAAATATATTGCAGTTGTTGTTCATGAAATGAAAATTTAGCATTCCAAAATATGTAGGTCTTTCAGAAGGGCAATCCCTAATTTTATGACCTTTTTTTGCAGCAGTTGTTAAGCAAATATAGGGATTAAATGAATGTGGTGGTCATTAAGGAAACCCATTGTACCCAATGGCCATGAACCATCATCCCATGACCATGAGAAGCTGCAAATGGCCATAAATGCAGACCGATTGCCATCTACCCAAAATGCCATCATGTGATCATGAAGGATTGGGTAGCCATCATCTTTGAAACTGAGTCATAAGTAACTCTGGAGAGGTCCATTGCAGCTTCAAACAGTCACTAACCAACTGATCATAAATTGAGGATTATCTGTATTAAGAGTTTCTGTCATAATTAAATGAATTTTTTTGAGTAGATAGAATTTTAGGAAAAGTATGGAATGGACTTATCTGATAAAATAATTTGAAAAGCTAAAAAAAATTATCATTTATTTTAAGATGCCTTAAAACAGAAAATGGACCATCTACTTCATTAACATCAGATTTTAACATTATGCTACAAAAAAGGAATTTGATGTTTAATTTCCTATCTTCTCTGTCTATTTATTCTAACTGCAGCCCAAGATAACATGGATGAAAAATAAAATCATTATTATGAATGACCCACGTTACAGAATGTTTAGTAACCAGGGTGTTTGTACACTGGAGATTCGAAAACCCAGCCCCTATGATGGTGGCACATATACTTGCAAGGCAGTCAACAGTCTTGGTGGGGCTGAAGTTGAATGCAAATTGGAAGTCAGAGGTAAGATGGTCTTTGTTGGGTGGAGTAACTTTCTTTAGTATAAAAAAATAGCTGGGAGCAAGATGCCTTCCTTATTATGACAATTTTTGCCTCTTTTGCTTTGCGGGAAAACACATTTTCATGAATAAAATGTTAAAAGTAGAGTAACAATATTTGAATCAAATGTTTATGCTATACGGAGAGTATGCAACATGGCAACATTTTGAATATCGTAAATATATCTGCACATCCATCAGAAATACGCCTTCAGGATATTTCCAGATTAAGGTAATACATAAAGAAGATTAGTAACTGGCTTACAATGTTCCATTTTTAACTTTAAAATAATTTAGTTACAAAATGATCCTATCTAAGGAACAGTTTATTACCTTCTTTCACTGAGCTCATACAAATATTCTGTAATGCACATTGTCTGTAGAATCTATATAGTCATGATGGCAAACCTATGGCATGTGTGCCACAAGTGGCATGTGGAGCCATTTATGTGGGCACGCAAGCTCCAACCAAACTTACCTGCACTGCGCATGCGTGCACTTCCCAGCTACTGGAACTGCTGAAACAGGCCCATTTTTCGGCCTGCAAAGGCTGCAGAGGCTTCCCTCGAGCCCCCCGGAGGGTGAAAATGGCCTCTCCCAGGTTCCAGAGGCCCCCTGGAGGCTGAAAATGGGCACTTCTGATATTTCCAGAAGGCCCATCTTTCAGCATTCCGAGGTTACAGAGGCTTCCCTCGAGCCTCAGGGAGGCCGAAAAAGGCCTCAAATGGGCCGAAAATCAGCTGGGAGGCGTGTGCATGCACAGTGCAGGTAAGCGGGCAGGGGGGTACACATGCGCAGGGTGTGTGTGCATTGCAGTGTCTGTTCCAGCATACACACACACACACACACTATCACACGTGTGTGTGCTTTCGGCATACCACAACAAAAAGGTTCACCATCACTGTTATATAGGTTCTAGACTCACTAATTTCTGCCTTTTGGGACTGCCTACCTTTTGTTTCCTACTTACTTCTCAATCTTAATTAGATCCGTAATTATACTATTATGACATTGAAAATCCAATGTGGCCCTCACTGCCCATATAATACTTCTGGTTTGGTTAATTAGGGTATTTACTTGCTTTGGAATTTGTATACTTTATCTATCTTGCCCAATGACTCAAGCAAGATAGAAGTGACCTGTCTTGGGCAATATAGTATTCACATTTCCTGATTGTCCCAGTTTTTCTATTAACCACTTTTCTGCATAGAAGGCATGACCTCATTTCAAGGAGTTCACTCTTCCACATCACATGATAATAGAACTACAACTCATTCATAAACATCTAAACTCATGCTTTCTGCAAATCCTATATGTGGTTGTTTCATTTCAATCCAGCAAAGAATGCCACCATGGGACATTCATAGTGTCTAATGTCTATGGCACTAGTAACCATGACTTAAGTACTACAATTCTGAGCATTGAGACATTTTAGGGGTACAAGAGTTGATCCAGAAACTACTTGGAAAGAAACTACTGAAGGCTGATAGCTCCTAGCCAAATATAACCAATTTTTTTCTTCACATTTCAGTTTTCATTCTTTATTTCTTCCCTTTGTTACCTAGAGATGGAAAGACTAAAAAGCCTCTATATTGAAAGCTTGGTTGCCAATTTTTTGCAATCATGAAGATATGTCTACTAACTATTTCACTGCAGTTGTGCTGGGGTTGGGTTATGCATTTTTTTTTCTTTCTTCGTTCTTCTTTTTCCACTTAATATTTATTATCTGAAATCCAGTACCTTTTATTCACTGCCTGCATGATCATCTATCATTAGGGCAGTTCAGCCTGCTAGAGTGATTCAAAAAAAAATTACTACCAGTTCTGTGGGCGTGGCTTGGTGGGTGTGGCAGGGGAAGGATACTGTAAAATCTCCAATCAGAGGTGGTATTTGCCGGTTCTGAAGCAATCAATATTTTTCTCCTCTCTTGCTGAAAAACAAAGAATAACTTTTCCCATCCTGGTACCTTCTGGATGTGTAGGGATAACACTTTCCAGATTCTTAGCCAAAATGGCAAAGCTTGGAAAAGTCAAAGTCAACTTATAATAATTATTTGTTGTGGGAGAAATGATATTGGCTTACTCTAGAACAGGGGTGTCCAACCTTGGCAACTTTAAGACTTGTGAACT